TGAAAGTGGGCTAACTCCACTTTTGTCACTCTTCTTGTCAATGGTCGAGTTACGATGAGCACATCATGGATTAAACTTTTTTTTTTTTGCATTAACCCTTTCATGCGCCCTGTAACCCGATAACATGATCAGCTGTCCACTGTAGTAACCGCTGCCCCTGAAAGGGTTAAACATGCCAAATTTGATACCGCATATACATTCTTAAATCATAGACAAATCAATATCGCTGATATGTGAATGGCTTATTGAACATGCATTTTACATCAAATTGATCAGACAGATATGTGGGTCATGCTATGTCCCATTTTATTCGACGGGACAGGCAGAAGTTGTTCATCGGCCAGTTGGCTGCCGTGCTTCCTGTCTAAGCTGGCACGTTGCTGAGGTGGTCAGCATGCAATGGGTTACTCGGTGTGTGTGTGTGTGTGTGTGTGTGTGTGTGTGTGTGTGTGTGTGTGTGTGTGTGTGTGTGTTTGAGTCACTCCCACCTGCAGGGAGACAGCGCGGTGCCAGCTGCCAGGCCTGGAGAGCATTAGTCAGAACTAACATCTCTGCCTTTTGATACACATGTACACAAATATTCGGCATACCACTGAATAATTCATAAATGGCGGTGTGTGTGTACCCACCTGAGACCACGGTGCAAAACACTACGCCGTTTAAAGGAGCAAGAAAAATAGAGGGCACTGAGGACTACATCTTTGTGGTATGATGGGTGCTCTATAAAATTTCGGAATGTATTGTAGCTAAAATGATTATTTTCCATGTTTTTATACATTTCAGCATTTTTTTGTGAACTTCATCTCCGAATGTCCTGGCGCATCTGTCCTGTCAGTTTTAAACATCAAAAGTGGCTCTTGAGCATGAAACTTTGTTCCCCCACCCTCTTGCCTAAAATGGAGTGAATGGGAGAAAATAAGAGTGCGTGCGTCTTCATGTGTGTGTGACAGCGGCGCTTCTCCATTACAACCCTGATGAGAACTAAAACAGCTTTTTACCACAAAGCAAATCAGGCTTTGGTGCTGAAGCTGTGTGAGTGACACTGATCTCTCTGTGAGTGTGTGCGCGTGCGTCTGATCTCCATCCATCCATCGAACCGTCCATCCATTTACTCTAAGCTCTTAAGCAGCGCTGCTGTTAAAAAGTCTCCTAAAACTCTAAGCCAAGAGAGATAACATGAGCGGCGGGGAGGATAACGTTGATGTCATGTCAGGCGCACACAACCGCCGCCCAGTGTTCCTCTCGTGTTAACAAAACCCATCACACCACTGTCTCTCTCTCTGTCTCTGTGAAGGCATGCGTTAATCTTCTTTTAATCACCAGCTCTTATTTACCCCCCACCCCAAAAAAAAACGTAATTTTTCATTAATGCATCCGAGAATGGAGGACAGTAAGATGGTGATAACGGTGATGATGATTTGGTGATTAAATGATGCCATCAATGTGTTGTGGATTAACACGGGCATGGAAATAGATTAGTTCTGCGTTGGGTTTCTTTCATGAGTGGCAGGACTCCAAAGGTGCACGCCACTCTCTCTTTTTAGGGTGGCTGCAGGTTTGTTTGCTGCTAGCGCCATCCTCTGGTGAACACAGACATGGCGATGAAAAGCAGTCATCCAGTGTCACTATTAAATTTAAGGCTATTCCTAAATTTAAATTTCAAATAATACACACACAAAATACAGAAACAAGCCCTCGTTGTGTAAATGATAGTCACCCTGAGATAAAATGTTAGTAGTCATGTAAAGATGATACCTAAATATCATTCAAAATACCAAATTGCTCTCAAAAGTTTTAAATCTGAATTCTTGGCGTGATTTGGTTTCCATCTTACTTGTGATGAAAACATTTCGTTGTATCACGCACATCTTAAATTCTAGCAGTGATGAATCTGAAGTTGTGTCTCTTAAAATACATGGAAGAGAAAAACAAGCGAGCTACACGACGAAGCAGAAATGACATAGTCAAGCTAATTGCCAATCTGACCATTGAGGGTATATCCTCGCTTCTGCTTTTTTTTGTCATCGTCACTGCAATGTTGAGTGTAAATCTCATACAAATGCAACCCTGTTACTTGTATTACCACAAACCACACTAATATTACATTTTTTATTTCAATTATATAGCTAATTTTCTTGTTCACTGTTGAGCATAGCAGCTAACGTGGCTAGCATGTACCTTAAGCAAAAATTCAAACATTAGCTCTTATTCGCTACCCTGTTACTGTAATTAGAGGAACGCGAACACCGAATTTGTATTCAGATCAAATATAAATTTATTTAATTGTCAAGGATTTGTTCGATAAAAGTTTTGATACTTTACATGTTGACTACTAATATACCAATGAAATATCATGTAAAAAGTGTGTACCTTTTGCTTTTGCACACGACATATTACTCGTGAGGCAAAACTATGCACTTGTGATTTTGTGCTAGTTAACACCAAGCACTTCAACTTAGCACTAATAGCACACAGACATAAACCAGTGCAGTTATACATGGAAGAGAAAAACAAGCGAGCTACACGACGAAGCAGAAATGACATAGTCAAGCTAATTGCCAATCTGACCATTGAGGGTATATCCTCGCTTCTGCTTTTTTTTGTCATCGTCACTGCAATGTTGAGTGTAAATCTCATACAAATGCAACCCTGTTACTTGTATTACCACAAACCACACTAATATTACATTTTTTATTTCAATTATATAGCTAATTTTGTTGTTGACTTGTGAGCATAGCTGCTAACATGGCTAGCATGTACCTTAAGCAAAAACTCAAAAATTAGCTCTTATTCGCTACCCCGTTACTGTAATTAGAGGAACACGAACACCAAATTTGTATTCAGATCAAATATAAATGTATTTAACTGTCAAGGATTTGTTCGATAAAATTTTTGAGATACTTTACATGTTGACTACTAATATACCAATGAAATATCATGTAAAAAGTGTGTACCTTTTGCTTTTGCACACGACATATTACTCGTGAGGCAAAACTATGCACTTGTGATTTTGTGCTAGTTAACACCAAGCACTTCAACTTAGCACTAATAGCACACAGACATAAACCAGTGCAGTTTTTCCTCACTAGGAACATGGAGTTGTGCTACTACTAGCATGCTAAAGGAATGTCACGCAGTCGTGGGAAAAAAATTGCAGTCGTTCCACTTGACTAATGTGCCCTCATCTTTCTATAGTGTGCTGAAGCCTGAATTGTTTGAGGTCCCGGTCTGGATTTTGTCCATTCGGGGTCAACATCATTGTCTTGTCCAACATTCCTATGTCTCCGACTTTGAATGTGTGTGGCTTTAAATGGTAAGTTCTAACCTGGTGAGTGACGCTGTCAGAAACCCAGTGATGTGTGTCGTCACACAGTAGTGCGCAAAGTGTAAATTAGTAATGCACGACAGAAAACTGTTTGGTATGTGTACAAGTAGGAAACAAAAAAAAACATTCTTAGTAAGACTATCATTCTGCTAATTACACCCAAGCTGTTGTACTACTGCGCTACTCTTAGGGCAAAAGAAGTACATGGTCCTTAAAATGAGTCTCAAAAATATCAAGTCAATGCTCAAAGGGAAGCAAAGGGTAAAGAAAAGGCAAATAGGAGACAAACAGGCCCGAGAAGAGGAAACGAAGACAACGGCGACGACACAAAGTGGCGCTGAGTTCATTAATTAGACTTTCAAATTGGACTAACTCAAGATGACAGCGCAGTTCTTGTCAAATCACATCAAGCCCCCCCCGGCCAGAGGGAGGAAGGGAGCAAGGAAAGGGCGGCCGCACATGCTCAGAGCCAAACATCGCTCTTTGCAGCTGTATGGGTGCCATCTTTCCTCTCGCTCTTCTTCCTGTTCCTTCTCCCTGGCTCTCTCACTCGCTCCTTTGCCTCGAATTACACCCCGACGCCTCCCTTGTGCCCTTGCGTGAATGTCACAGATGCCTTAACAAGAAGTGACAGGGCATCGTCACGAGTTTTGGGGGACAAATGGGGGTTCCTGTTTTTTTGTTTTTTTTTTTAAATCATAAACACGACAGACAGAACGACATCGATTTACATGAAGCAAACTGCAATGCTCAAAATGAAGTGCTTGGTTTTATCATGCAACAACTGCCTCATCTCATGCGGGGGTGTGTAAACTTTTGTGCTCAGGGGCCATGTTTGATTTGGAACTTTAAAATAGGCCAGGTAAAATATTTTATATATATATATATCTCTCAGTGGCGGATGCTGGTCTGTCAAGGAGGGGAAGCTCAATTTCGGCCTACATCATAAAATGTGTCCGTTTATTTATACGTGAATTCTATTCTCCGTTCGTTTTCAAAAAAATGAAAAATGCCTTCACCATAAGATCGGCGATTGGCTCATTTTGCTGTCAATCAAAAAGAGATTCGGCCTCAGACAGATCACCCAATCATCATGCAGAAAGCTGAGCTTCCGCCCACTGTCCATAGACTCCCAGAGACGCTGAGCGTCCGATTAGCGGGACAAAACCAGCATTTATCCAATGACTCGTCTCGTTTCAATGCATTGGGACAACCTACACTGAACTCTCGAGACGCCCAGCGTCCGCGCAGTCGACGCTCAGCGTCCACACAATTTAAAGCAAAGTGAAGCTGTGGGAATGAATCCGAAAAGAGTCGCGTCGTAACCAGTAATAAGAAGCTGATTCGGAACAAAAGTTGAGCGCGTTGCAGCGCATATTTAGTCAATGACATGTCCACACAATTGTACTTTTTGACATTCTAGGGGAAGCTGAGCTTCCCTTGCAGTCTTAGAGCAATCGCCTCAGATATATATACATATATAAAGATTTTGGGGGATGAAATTAATATTTTATTGATGGTCAATTTAGCTAAAATTCTTGAACCAATAATTTCATCATGTATATATTCACTTCTTTATTTCAGTAATATTTTTATTTTATTTTTAACAGTTGCCCAGCTTTTGATTGATTGAACATTTCATTTTGAATGCGGTACAACCCCCCGCCCCCAAAAAAGGCGAAAATATAAATATCCCAAACTAAAAAGTTGCATATTGCTACTCTGAAAAGGAGTAGGAAGAAGTTGAAATTAACTTAAATCCTACTTTTTCAACAAATGAATCAATTGACTAATCATTCAGTAAATTGTGGAAAAAAATGTGAGCTGATTAACAAATGATTTAAAAAAAAAAAAAAAAAAGCGAAGTTACACTTTTTGAGAACTCGAGTGGGCTAACTCCGCTTGGTTCATTTTATGTTGAGTGCAGACAAGTGCGGCAGAACAACTCAGTAAAATCATGAAGCAGATCCGATGCGATAAACACACACACACACACACACAAAGGAAGTCATGTTGTTGGAGGAATGTAATTCATGAAGCATTATTGCATGAGATAACAGCCAACTTTTTTTCATTAAAGCACTTTGGAAATATTTATTTATTTATTTTAAGCGCTGTTCGTCTTGGTCACTGCACACATTCCGGGCTTCACGATGACAGTTAGACCAGGAATGTCCAGTCACTGGGCGTGCGTCCATACTGTAAGACAAATTAAGTCTCAAAAAAATTGGCGAGATGATACTTTCCCCCTTCCTCCAGGGTCCAAACAAAACTCCTGTCACTAAGCAATAAAGTTCCCCCTCGCCCAGTGCCTCTTAATTGCTAACAAATCACAAATTAGGAAAAAAAAAAAAAAAATGAAATTAAACACCCTTGAGCAAATCTGCCAACTCGGCCACCGAGGCGACACAACAGAGAGAAGGAATAATAACAATCACGACAAAATGTTCCCCCAATCCGTGACAGCTGCGGAGACAAATCCAATTATTTGCCTCTCATTCTGCAAATTTGTTCTAATGGTCCAAGTGAGAAAGTAAATAAACGCATGCGAAGGGGAAACAAAAGGATGTGATTTCTAATTAACTTGAAAAAGGAACAGGAAGGGCGACTTAGCAAACCCATCTTTCATCCGCAGCCTCGGACCACTCGTTTGTTTGTTGCACAATGTTGCCGCTCGCCTCCAAATGAAATGTCAACAGATTTAAAGGCGCCGCGCTGTTTTGGTCGATTTTATTGTTCATTAAGCCTCCCCACGCTTGTCCGAGGCTTTTTCGTTTTGCAGCATCTCGGCTTTTTGAAGTTCACAAAAAAAAAAAAATAATAATAAAATTGCTGAGGCAATAATTGGGTTTGTGCAATTACAGCGGGCTTAATGAGAGAACGCAGGAGTTTGCCACTCGGGCCTCTATCTCTGGTTGAAGCCACAAAGCACATTGTGCAAGTGGGGTGGGGGGTGGGGGGCATTCACAAGCCACCCGAGCACCACGCTTATCCCTTGTGAGGCCTGCATTGATAGATGGAGCGCTTCATCTCCTGCCTCACAGTGATTAGAAGAATAAACATATTTAGTTCACTTCACAAATATTCTACGTTCATAATTTGTTTGGTCGACATTCTTCAGCTGGGTCCAGGGAGAAAAAAAAAACAATTCAGTTACTATGTGGACCTCGAAATGCAATTAAAAAGTATGTTGATGTTAAAAAAAAAATTGCTCAGACGAGCGCAGGCATGGGGGATCTGCGAGAGGGAGTGCTGCATCGCTGTGGGAGTGGTCATGGCCAACTTTGCCAATCAGACAATACTTAGTGTCTATTTTTTTATTTTATCTTGCACTCGAAAATCACACTATACATTAAAAAAAACGAAAACTCATAACAATCAAATAAAAACAAAAACTACCAAACTTTTTCTAAAACCTATTTGCAACTGAATTTTAAAAAAAAAGTCAAAACGAAATAAAAACCATCAAAAAACAACAAAAAAAAAGAGAATTAGAATGAATAATTGTTTTATTTATTTTTATTTTTTTGATATTTTTTATTCATTCTAAAATTATTCTAAACCTGTTGTTCACCAACCTGAATATCTGTGAGTTGTTTCAGGATACGAGCGCTCAGCTGTGTCCTCTTGTCCTGACAGGGGATGTGCAAGTGCTCCAAAAAAAACATACAGACAAAAATATAAATACCTGTACTGTTGAGCTAGCATTGTTATGATAATTATTTTGATATGTGTAAAAAATTCATAGTCAGACATATTGGGAATATTCAATAAAGTCATATGTATGGGAAGTAGAGAAGAGTCGTAGTTTCCATTTATTTATATTCATGAATCGTGTAGATAGATTTTTGATCACCTCTCCCATGTATATGATTTCTCCCACTGAGCAGATCATGCAGGCCGTACCGGAACCGAACACCTGCTTGACGCGGCCCTGCTTGAGAGCGCCACAGAGCTGGGCCATGTTCAAGTAGCGCTCTGTGACTTTAAACTCCCCCTTTATGTTGGAGAGGAAAAGAGAAGGTGAAGGGCAGTAGGTTCGAATGAACCCTTTCAGGGACAGCGGTTACGACAATGGACAGGTTATCAGGTTACGGGTTATCATTATTTGTGCGTGAAAGGGTTAAACATGTGCTTGTGTTACCCATTGTCTGGTGAGTTCCAGGATGCTCTGTCGATTAACGCCTGCGAGGATGATGCCGTTCAGGGGTGGCGTCGCAAGCTCTTCTTCTACATATTGGAAACGTAAGTAAAGTCAATTTTGTTAAAACACACCGTGAACATATTTTGAGCACACACAAAAATAATTGCAAGCATAAATGTCCAGGAAAATATTATACATATGATTGTGTCTGTCAGGATGGGCTGACCTCCATCCTCATTGATCCAGTGGACAAAGATATTCAAGGTTCCCGCTTCAGTGATTTGATGGTCCTCGCCGTACAGCCACAGAACCTGTTGACAACCATTGTCCTCTGCCTCAGACTGTGCAACCAGGCCGCCACCATAGTTCCTGACAAAAATAAATAAATAACATCACACTTATTTGTGTGATTAGAATGTCCACTAATTATCAACTGTGCAGGCTTCCCACCCTCCCATCTTGCAATCTCCGGTCCCTCCTTGCCAGGCCCGTGTGTACTTTGCGTCGGCCCACAAGGAAAGGCCTTTTGCCGTCGCCTGATAGAAAGAACCCGCTAGGCTCATGATGACAAAAAGCAAGGCTCGGCCAGGTTTTCGTACACTCAGGATTGGCTAGAGGACAAACAAATATCCTTTAATATCGATTGACAACCTGTGAATACTGTACTTTTTACCTCTGTGCTGATCAATGTGGGTCTTATGTACAGACTGGCTGTGTCTGAGCGTGGAATCCAGTCCTGGTCGACTTCCACAAGTTTCCTGATGCACTCCAGCAACTCTGATGGCTCAAATATCTGAAAGAGGAAATACATGTACCTTGAAAGTCTGTGAAGTAACATGTGGTGCGCCTCAAGGTTCCATTTTAAGTACTTGAATGTTTAATTGATATATGCTCCATCTTGGCGGTGTCATTAGGAGGCACGGAGTGAATTTCCACAGCTACGCTATTAACACGCAGTTGTACACTTTTATGTCTCCTGATGATGCCAGTCCGATGGACGCTCTTTTTAACTGCATCCTGGGCATCAAATAGTAGATGGCAGACAACTATATCTTTACGAAGACAGTCAAGTGTTGAGTTTCAATCATTTAACCCAAGGCCACGGCTAGCGCGCGCGCACACACACAAACACACACACACACACACACACACACACACATATTTATATTTGTATAAGAACATTTCATTTTGCAATGCAACTTACTGGTAGACAAGCTCTTTTTGCCGACCTGACCATGCGCTCCATATTGAGCATTGGCCTGAAGAGACGCAGTCGATTATCATCCCCGCGGTAAGCCTTCAGACCTTCAAACAGCTGTGGAGAAGAAGGTCAGATTTGACTGGGAGCGTTTTAAAGTCCACGCCAGGCTCACTGCGCTTCACCTGAACGCCATAGTGCAGCGACGAGCAGGCCGGGTGAAGCGGCAGGTTCTCGAAAGGCCGAATCATGGGCCTCTGCCAGCCCTCAGAGGCGTCCCACTCAATGGTCAGCATGTGGTTTGTGAAGACTGTACCGAAGGTGAACACGTCATGATGGTTCACTGGATCCATGGATAGCTTGATATTAAGTTCTGCTGCCTAAAGACATGCAAGATATCACCTCAGTTTGGATGCAAACATCATCGATACGGTGATTCTTGAACTTCTTGATTAATATAAGACACACGTTGAACATTACAACTGTACTTTCATACACTGTAAAGCAAAATAAAAAGTCAAATCGTGATTCAATTCAAATCAATCAGTCAAACTCATGATATGGGGCTTTTAATACAAAAGAAAGGGGAAATAAGTTTCTTTCTCTGTGCCTTAGGACCAACGATTAAAACTTCAGCCTTGTTGGGTTAAGATGAAGACAGTTCTCTGCCATCTAGGATTTGATGTCCATGATACAGCTAAAAAAGAGCATCCATTTGACTGGTGTCATCAGGAGACAAAGAGATGTACATCCATGCAGGTTGTCAATATAGCTGTGGAAATTCGCTCTGTCCATTTTGTCCTTTTAATTGTTGTTAATGTGATGTCCAAAACGTGCAAAAATGGACACCTGTTTTGTTTTTTTGTTTTTTTTTTTTTCCACAGGACAACAATATATAATTGAAACAACAAAGGACCTAATGTTGAACCTTGAGGCACACCACATTACTTCATATACTTTCAGGGAGCATATTTGTAAACTTACCATAAAACTTATCTTGGAGAGGGAGGTTAAAACCCATTTTTGTGCACAGAGAGGAGAGACAGATATTTTAGTCTGTGAATGGTGTGCTCTATCAAAAGCAGTGCTAAAATCCGGCAGGATCAACATTGTTAATTTTAAACTAATAATGTAGTGCAAATTAAAAAAAATACCTGAATACAAACAGTTCTAAAAGATTCCATGTGAACGTATTGTACTTAAAAATTCAGTGCAACACAACTGTACTTAATGAATATACTGAGCTGGATTAAAAAGTAAAAACATGAAGACCACTGAGGTGATGCATTTAGCTCAGTAAATTCAGTGTTTTGTTTCAAGGCACCACAAGAGGGAGCCAACACTTTGGCAATTACTGATTCAAGATATTGAATGTGAATCATCCCACCTCTGTGTCCCCATAATGTCGGACTATGGATTAGACATAACCCTTATGACCTTCCTCCTCGTACACGGTACTCCAAACCTAATCCCGGATTATAAATTGATGAGTGACCCATAGCGCTGCACTTTTTTGTTTTGTGTAGATTTTATCCCATGAAATCGTGTCTGTGTTCCCTATGTTTTTTTTTTCCTTTTATGCTGTTGTCTGCTCATCATGAACGATATGACACATGAGGAGCCGTTTTAGTATGCGTCATAATCCTTCCTCACTGTTACCTGCATCCCTCCGTTCACACACTGTGCTGTCAGGCGCTTAAGTGGCTATAAATACTGTATGAGCATGTAGTCTCTCTTCCAGTGTGTGTGTGTGTCTGTGTGGAGGAGAGCGAGCGGTGAAAGTAGATAAGGCCCACTGAGCCTTTTGTACTACTCGGGGATTAGAACTATCTGTTGGGTTGTCTCCGAGCAAACCACACGACGACCCACAAAGTTGGCACACAACTTCACACAAAATGAAAATAAATGTGGGTGTGTGAGTGACCTAATCTCGACCTGAAAGCCTCGCTTACTTAGTGTGAGCTGGGGCAATGGATTCTAGTGAGAGGAGGACCAGACCACCTAAATTTTGCCCAACAATGAGGATCTCTTCCGATTCTGATGGATTTACTTCTAAATAAAACAGCTGGATGATGCTTTCAAGGTATTTAATGATATTTTAGATTCTTCATCCTCGACAAGGAGCCACTGTTGGGATTTTTTTTTTATGTGAATCATCAAGATGCTGCAACTGAGGGTAGGTGATGAACTGTATTTGTCCACTATAAAGCAACAAAGTACCTTGAAGCTTGGAACGCTGCAGTCGCCCTTCATTGTTGAAGTGTCCATGATGACAGAACACTGTAGAAATTGTCAAATATGGATTTTATGTCAGTAATTGTTCAGCAAATGCTAACTAGACCAAATGTAATGAGCTAATGCAGTGGTTCTCAAACTTTTTTACACTAAATACCAAACAAAAACAAAAATGACCAATAATTAGATTCAAAGTAAGAAACTTTTGTCAATTCTGTTTCATCATACCGATATTGTATTGGGGTTCTACTCTGAAGCCAGTAAAGTTCAAAGTGAAATTATTCATTGTGGCAAAACAATATTCCCAATTCCCCCCAAAATAAACACGTATTGAGGGAAGGGGTGGTAATATTAACACATTAATTAAAAACCATCGTAGTCATTAAATTATATTGTTAATCATCTACAGAAATGCTGTTCACCATCTGCTCATCATTTGTTGTTATTCATCCTAAGTATTTGATCATAACGTTTTTGTGTGATAAAACTTACCCACAAAACCTGAGACGTCTGGACTGGATAAGCACGAAAGAATTTGCAAGTCAAGACTTTTGAGCTTCAGGTGAAGTTAAGTCTTGGGGAAAAATATTAACATAAGCACGGGCAAATATTTGTCTTTAAATTACATATGTACGGAGCCTCAGGCTCCGTCCAAATGTGCATATGTACTCTCAGGCTCCGTACAAATGTGCATATGTACTCTCAGGCTCCGTACATTTGTACGTTTTGCTGTCTTGAATGCAGAATTTCCGTCACGCTTGTTGTTTTCCCGCTATTCATCATCGGTTGTATATGTTCTATTCGTTTGTTTGTATTTTATTTGTACTGATTATTACAATCACTTCTGATTTCCTACTTTTGTATCGTCTGTATTTTGGTGTCATTATTATTATTAATAAATAAATATGTTGTTGTTACCGCTTCCGAACACCGAGTGGCGCTGTTTGCTTATTTTTTGAGTCCTGCTGGGTGGCCACGAACTTTCAATGAGCATGCGCGAGACGTGAAGTGGGGTTGTTAACCAATCGAGCTCGTTCAGGTGAAAACAGCTTGTGTAAATTTGTCTTTTAAAGATGTTTAAGATACGTTTTTTGTGTGTGTAATAGTTTTCAGGTTTGTATTTGTATTTCTTTGCGTTGATAAACCGCGTGGGTAACTTGGGAAAAAAACTTATGTCTCCCCTGACTTTTTTCGCACCAACGTTCACGGTCACTTTAAATGGCAAATACAGCAGTTATGTCGTTAATTGTGTAAACGAATAATGTCCTATGTCAGCGAAATGGTTTAATAATGTCTCTTATGCGATATGATTAACTTTATTTTTGAGCGTCAACTGAATTAATTTTAATTATCCGCACCTGGTACCTAATGGCTTTTTTTAAACGTCGTTCATCATTTTGTAGTGTTTTTATTCTATTTATTTTATATCTAGAGTATTTCGCTATTGTACAGACGTGGCTTGTCAACGATTAAAATAACTTCACATTCTAAAAACTCCATTTAATCGTGATTCAAGGTAATCCAATTCAAACTTTTTTATATAATTTCAAGACCTTCAAACAGTTGATACTGCCAATGCAAATAATATATCCAATTGTTTTTGGTTTAAATGTCCACAATTCTGTGGAATATACAGAGTGGGCTAAATATAGCTAGCCTACCTGTATGTATATTTATATACTTTTATGTTATAGTCGCGTCAATTCATCAAAGTTTTTTTTAAAAGGTTTTTAGCCCAGGTTGGGATTTCAAGTCCTGGTGTGGGTTTGTGTTGACCAGGTGGAGACCCTGAAGGTTAATTCTTTCATTGAAAAAGTTAAACACGACCCACAATGCATAAACCTCTGTAGTCTTTCCATTTGTTCCGCATTCATAAAGGTATTTAACCACCCTACTTGTCTTTCCCCAGATTCCAACCTCAATTGATCATGGACTACTACCCGCCCCAGGCATCGCGACGTCACAACCCGGTGGACAGCATCTGCCGCAAACTTCTGACCAACCAGTGGCGCGGTGACCGAGAGCCCAATAGCCCCTTCCAAATCCCCAAGCTGTCTTCCAGCAGCTACGATAGCCCCCAGTGCGGCCTCAGGCGCAAGATGGAGGCCATCATGAGGAAAGGGATCCACGGGAGCAAGGAGAAAAGTGACGGAATACTGAACTCGGCGCCATCCCACAAGAGCAACTTCCCATCATTCACTCCTTCCACACCAGCAGGCAAAACCTCTTCTAACACCACATACACCATCACAAGTACCCTTGGGGAGAGCAAAGGTGTTGATAGAAGTGCAATAAAACCATTCAGGACCTGGCAGAAGTATTGCTCCACTCCCACGGGACAGGACAAAGACTCCCCGTACTTCACGGTCACCCGAGACGGGCCCCATTCGGCACAGCCCGAGAGCGGAAGCGGTGAGCCCGCTCTCTCTCGCACCTTCACCCCAATTCACAGCACCGTCTCTTATGACCTTAACTTCAGCCCTGCCGACACGGGGAGCTCCATAGAGGGCGAGCTGTCCTACCCGGCTCTGGTTGTCAGAAAACTGTCGCTGGGAGATGGAGGTAAGCACAAACGCATTTTAGATCTGACAACCAGCCAGCTCGGAAACTACATACAAATTATATTTGGCAACAAATTGATTGACAGTGTATTTTAAACTTTCAATTGGGAAAAAAAAGAAATGAAATTCCGAATATGTTTTCCTATACTTATCCTAAAACAACTGTCGTTGAAGTATAAAAATTAACTTTTGCTTTAGCGTGAGCCGAAAATAAAAGCTCAAAACATTGATGTGTAATGAATCTGATACTGTTTATTGCAGCGTGATTGTCAGTTCTTCACACCAACAAATTCAACTTTGTAAAGGAAAACAACGTGCAGAATCCAACTGCTTGGTAGTTCTCTCAGTAAACGTGCACAAGTAAAGCGATACACGTGGGGAAACAACCACCGAGTGTGAGACAGTTCTCTAAAAAGCAACGTCATAATGAGGAAGCTGACGAAAGTGAGCCTGATTACAAACATGTTAAGCAAATGCGAACAGGGGGATATTCGAAGGCAACCAAGTACAACGTGGTTGACTTTACATAACGCACCACAATTTCACAGAATATGAAGTTCCCGGCCATCGTCACTGTTGCCCCGAGGTGCAATTTTGTACATCATGTGCTCATATTTGCTCATGCTTAGGAAACACGGCGGCCTCTGAGAGCAAAAACATGGCAGAAGTCAGCCTCATCTGCGAGGAGAATCTCCTCGACACCATCTTCCATGCTTGTGACACACAACGACGAGGTAACGTCGACACAAACGCGCACACCGAGCAAGGTGCCCCAAGCTTCAGTGGAGGACTCCTGGTCGGGAAGGATTGTTTCCGGCGTTTTACTAAGCAGCCGTGTTTTCTATCTGTCTCTCCGATGAGCGTTGACTGCCTTTCTTCACAGGAGCATTCACTATTATGATGTCCGTCCATTTTCCGATCCGCTTTATCCTCATAAGGGTCACGGGGCATGCTGGAGCCTATCCCAGCTGTCTTCGGGCAGTAGGCGGGGGGACACCCTGAACCGGTTGCCAGCCAATCACAAGGCACACAGAGACGAACAATCATCCGCGCTCACACTCGCACCTAGGGACAATTTTGAGTGTTCAATCAGCCTGCCATGCATGTTTTTTGGAATATGGGAGGAAACCAGAGTACCCGGAGGAAAAACCCACGCAGGCCCGGGGAGAACATGCAACATTTTTTTCAACCTGAATTATCAGTGGCTAGTATCAGCAGCCTCAACAAGTACCCGATACCCAAAAATAAGTCCTGCTAACATACCCGGTATCGGCCCGATACAACACCTGATTTCCACCCGATACGATACCTGGTGTTGATACTTGACCATCTGTCATTTTAAGAGTTTTATTTATTTATTTATTTTCGATCAAATACTACTTCTAGGTAAGGTGTACGTGTCTCACATTGTGGACTTCTTGCGGCACACCACCAGCCGCACCTCCGAGGACAAAGGCCTGGAGGAGCTCTGCAACATGCTCGATCCCGAACGCAAAGACGTTTCCATCGACCTGGACACGTATCACGCTGTCATGAGGGAGTGGATTGACGACTGCCGCAACAACGGGTAAAGGAATGAGGACAATTCACTGTGCCCATTAACAGTCCTGTGTTTCACTTTGGCTCCTCTGTTGCATCCCATAGTGAAGGACCATCAGAATATCCCGCCGAGGACTCAGCTAGAACAAGAGACAGCATTTCTGGTGGATATTTGTCTCATAAGCTGATTTGTGTGTGTGTGTGTGTGTGTGTGTGTGTGTGTGTGTGTGTGTGTGTGTGTGTGTGTGTGTTATTCCTCAACGTTCTCAACATTGATGGTGTCTTTTGTGTTGTCCATTACTGTAGCCAGGAGGTCCATGCTGCTCAATATGACCTCGGGAAGCTTGGAGGGCTTTGGAGGGGATGCGTCAAGAGCAGAATTGTATGGGTCCATCCATCCATTTTCTCATCCGCTTATCCTCACAAGGGCCACGGGTGTGCTGGAGCCTATCCCAGCTGTCTTCGGGCACTAGGCGGGGGCCACCCTGAATTGGTTGCCAGACAATCGCAGGGCACACATAGACGAGCAATCAACCGCGCTCACACCTAAGGACAATTTAGAGGGTTCTATTAGCCTGCCATGCATGTTTTTGGAATGTGGGAGGAAACCGGAGTACCCGGAGAAAACCCACGCAGGCCCGGGGAGAACATGCAAACTCCACACAGGGAGGCCGGACTGGAATCGAACCCTGCACCTCTGCGCTGTGAGGCCGACGCGCTAACTAGTCGTTCACCATGACCCCCCCGAATTAGAGACCCAGAATTGGGTCGTGAGAACAATTTTAGGGACTGACATTTGTCTCCAAACTCACCATTTATTTTAGATTTTTGATCTTCGAGAAACAGGTCATCAACCATCATCTAATTTGATTTGTCAGGCTCAAACATCAACAGTGCACTTTTATGAGAGGGTGTCCTATAGAAGACCCTGGTGCAGAAATGCAGACACCCTCAAAAATATGTTTTGAAATATTGCGGGAAAAAAAGCCTTGACAATTAAATAAGTTTTTTTTTTGTTTGTTTTGTTTTTTTGAAAAACTTTTTTTTTGCTGACCAGTTGTTGGTTTGCCCTGGTGCAGAAATGCAGACACCCTCAAAAATATGATTCAAAATATTGCGGAAAAAAAGCCTTGACAATTCATTTTAAAAAATTATTTTTTTTTTGAAAAAACTTTTTTTTTTTGCTGACCAGTTGTGTTGGTTTGAGTGACACGATTACAGCTGAAAAGAAAAACAGGAGAGAAGAGATATGTTCCAGCCTATCCAGGGAAATTAGCATGTCATTTCTGCTGAGTCATGTAGTTCACTTTTTCCTCTTCCCCTTTAAGTCAAGTACAACTTTATTGTCAAATGCGGTATATGTGCAACATACAGCACAGATGAAATTTCTTCCCTCTCAGACAAAAAGAGGAGCCGCTGCGGGTGCCCGCGCCACCATCAAAAATAACAGTTAACGTAAAATGACAAAATAACACAACACTCCATATAAGACACAGACAGTCGTGCAATCTTAACCACTTTTCCCGCATACACTTTGTTGTTTGAAGCAGTTATAAATGAAAGAGAAGCGAATCAAAGTGTCCTTTTCGCCAGTGAATCAAAGACGTCATGCGGAAAATGTGCACACGTCTGCTACAAGCTAAGTTTGAAAGCAACAAAAATCCAAAAGATTTTAGTCGCGAAACATAATCATTACTTTTATTTAAAATATCTGTCGTCAAACAGCACAGATGAAATTTCTTCCCTCTCAGACAAAAAGAGGAGCCGCTGCGGGTGCCCGCGCCACCATCAAAAAGAACAGTTAACATAAAATGACAAAATAATACAACACTACATATAAGACACAGTCGTGCAATCTTAACCACTTTTCCTGCATGCACTTTGTTGTTTGAAGCAGTTATAAATGAAAGAGAAGCGAATCAAAATGTCTTTTTCGCCAGTGGATCAAAGACGTCATGCTGAAAATGTGCACACGTCTGCTACAAGCTAAGTTTGAAAGCAACAAGAACCTTGATGCCAAACAAGATTTTAGTCACGAAACATAATCATTACTATTATTTAAAATATCAATATCATCAACTAAATGTTTTCAGAATTAAAATCAAGAAATTGTATCCAAAACCTGACTTCGAACACATTTTATCTGCAGCATTTGAAATCCACTGCAAGTTGGCCATCAAGTGGCAGGCGCTTAAGACTTAATCAGTGTTTTGAAATAATTGTCTTCTCTCCTCTAAAGTGAAACATCAGAGCTCGTCTACTGCCTTGCCGACGTCCAAATGAACAACCAGAAGCTCCAGGAGGAGGTGAGGAAGCTGAAACAGGCGGTGGAGGGGATGGAGGAGAGCAACCAAAAGCTGGCGGATGAGAACGAGGAGCTACGCAACCAGACCAGAGTGTGAGATGTCCTCACAGGGCGCCACAGTACGAGCATGCTTCCTGCTGCAATATTTTTTTTTTGTCCCCCTCCCTCCCTCCCTCTTCTGCAGTCACCAGCAGCTGATCCACAAAGAGAAGATGCTGCACAACGAAGTGGAGGAAATGAAGGCCACTCTGAGCTGCACGGAGGAAGGCAGAGCTCGCGCCTCCGCGCGCAGCAAGCACGTGGTCAGACCAAATTGACAGCTCACATACCCGCACGACTGTGAAAAATGCCTTTATTAAGCCGCCAGGATGACAAAAATGAAGCTGCTTCCTTGTTCCAGGAGAGAGAAAACCAAGATCTCATAGCAAAGATTGCTTTACTCCAGGACGAGGTAAGATTTTCAGATCTGCTTGCAGATGAGAGCAAATCTGTGATGCCCTGACACTCTTCTCATGGCTTCTCAGAACTTCAAGGTCAGCATGGAGATGGACGAGCTTCAGAAGAGAATAGCGGAGCTGTGTGACATTAACGCTGACCTTCAGGTTAGCACAATCTTTTTTTTTTTTTTGCACTGTATGTTGCTCTGCATTCGTACTCCTATTTATCTTTTGCTTTTTAAAAAAAAAAAAAAAAATCGTTTTCTCCATCACGTGTGACTCAATGAATGCTGCTTGGTTGTGTAACGGTTATGTCCTCGTTCGTAGGTGCAGATTCACTCTTTCGATACGGTTATCACTGAAAAGGAATCTCTTATCCAAGAGGTCAGTGCCCTATTCAGTTTGTTTGATTTATTTCACTGCTGACCTATCTGAGTTTTTTTTTTTTTTTTTTTTTTTTTTTTGCACTGTATGTTGCTCTGCTTTCGTACTCCTATTCATCTTTTGGTTTTTGAAAAAAATATTTTCTTCATCACGCGTGACTCAATAAATGCTGCTTGGTTGTGTAACGGTTATGTCCTCGTTCGTAGGTGCAGATTCACTCTTTCGATACGGTTATCACTGAAAAGGAATCTCTTATCCAAGAGGTCAGTGCCCTATTCAGTTTGGTTGATTTATTTCACTGCTGACCTATCTGAGGTGTTGCCAAATGTAGACCTTTTTTTTTTTTTGTTTTGTTTTTTTCGCACTCAATATTTTTGGGTTATGTGTTTACACAGAAGAGCAGACAGATAGACGAGCTCAAGGCGGCAGTCGAGGAATACTCCTCCATCACGGAGGTCAGTGTTTTAATATCTATGAACTATTCCGATCATTTTTGCTTTTTCCGCAACAACATTTTTGAACGTATTTGCCGATTTGTTTCAGTTACTAAGGGCCGACAAGAGCAAACTGGAGAGCCACATGCAGGTGATGCATCAAGACCTTTTGAGGTGAGTTTTAGGTTTTCATTTTGCAAGGCTCCCAAGGTTTTGGGCAAACCACACAGGTTAAGGCCTTGTTGCTATCAGATTAGGTATGAGTGCAAAGCCGAGGCAAGACATGGGCATGGCGTTAAGAGAAACTTGATTCAGTGGAGGCTTAGGCCTTGTTGCTATCAGATTAGGTATGAGTGCAAAAGCCGAGGCAAGACATGGTCATGGCGTTAAGAGAAGCTTTATTCAGTGGAGGCTGCGGAGGATGACAAAAGTTTTATCCAAACCAACTTCAGATTGTTAAGCGTCATACTTTTTCGTTTGAAGCCTTGGTGCAACCTGACGTCAGCGCAGATGTTGATGCTGAATTCCAGTGGAGCCCGCCCAATCGACTTTACCTGTTATTGCGGAAATGTGGCTTCCAGCAAGGGTTATAATAAAAAATAACACCCCAAAAATGATTTGACGTTACTATTTCTACCGTGATATTATTGATCGTGATTTGATCGAGTCTGACAGTATGCAAATAATATACATTTGTTTCATTTATATTTAAAAGCTAATATATTGATTTCAAACCATCGTTTCAAAGTGTTAAATTCTGCTCGTACTTTATTCGGAAGCTGTGGTGGGAATTTGACACTCAACATTGTTAACTGTTACGATTAACTGTTAACTTGTATCATTGTATCCGCTGATCATGCTATTTGTTAAGTGTTGCTATGCAAAGTTGGTTGCTGTGCAAGGGTGTGCGTCATACTTCATCCTGCTGTCTGTCAGTGTTGCCATGCAAGTTCGTTGCTATGCTAGATTGTAATTTTTCTGTATGTCAAGCTTTAACCCCTCCCGAGAAGGGAAAAAAAATGGTATAAGAGGGGCAGAACTACCACTGCTTGGGGAGTCGCTCCATCACAGATCTGTCGATGGTGTTTCTCCATCAATGTAGCTAAAATGAATCTGATCGTTGTGCAAAGACTTTCATTGTCTTGTGTTCCCTCCCTGGACAAGACACAGCTCACTTAAATCACTCCCAATGTAGCTAAAATGAATCTGATCGTTGTGCAAAGTCTTTCATTGTCTTGGGTTCCCTAGACAAGACACAGCTCACTTAAATCACTCAAAGAACAAGGCGGAGTGGTATCACCAGCAAAAAGTACACATTTGAGGAACTGATACCTGACAGATATCATTTACACAGTATATGCAAAATAAATGATACTCGTTTGGGAATTGATCCCTGGGGAACACCACATGCAGTTTCATTCATTCTGATTTGACTTCATTTAACTGCCCATGTTGTTTACTGTTTGCAAGATGGTCAAGAAGCAATGATAGCGTATTTACTGATTCCAATTCTTTTTGATTGCCTGATCAAGAGAGTATGATCAATTTTATCAATGTCTGACTCTCAACAGCACTGGAGTCTCTCTTTCGGCAGCCTACAGGCTGAACCAGAGCGCGTCAGGATCCCTGCAGACAGAGCTGGCTTTGGCTCAGTCACCACTGGAGGTCAGCATTTCATATATGCGTCCATCGCCAGTGTTGCACTTAGAAATTCAAATCGACTTACGTGAATGTGTGACTCTCGTCTTTAGTCTGTCTATGGCTTTGACCATTTACCCACCAATGTGTGCTTTGCCTCGCCACTGGATGAGACCCTGGACAGAGAGGTGCTGCTGATGATGCACGGACCCAGCCCTGATATCATGGCTCTGGAGTTCCAGAAACTGCTGAACAAACTGGTAATCGGCTGGAATGAGTTCTTGGTAACCCAAGGGCATTTCAACCATTTATACACACAGTGCAATTTTCCAAATATGATTTCGGCGTGTATGAATTTCATCGCTCAGAACTATTTAGTCGCTGTCAATGTTTTTTTTTTAACTTTCCAGTGCAAATATTTGTCATTCTTTGTATCGGTGTCCTGCAGAAGACCGATTTCAGACAAGACACCAACACCGTTGTGTCCACGCTGAAAGCCTTACTAAGTGACCGCTCAAAACCAGGGGGCACCACAGACGCCAGTCTTGAGGTGACTTTCGGTATTTTGTCCCTTCTTAGGTCTTGGCTCTCTCGCTGCTTCATGCTGGCATAGTCTTTGTCGGCGTCCACCTGTTGCACTTTTTTTTATCTCCATCACTTCATAGTTCTGTTTCCCCACACATTTTCACACGCTTCTCTTATATAACTCTCTCGCCAGTCCCATCCAAAGCTGTTTGTTGTAGCGTGAAAACAGCCCGCACCCCTTCTCGCTCGCTCTTGACGAGCCTCCTCTTTTGGCCCCCGCCCTCCTCCTCCAGCTTTGTTGCCAAACTGCATTCATTAGGCACGTTCGGCCATACAGCAGTAAACCCGCAAATGGCAAGGGCATCATTAGTCGAGTGCCAGTAAAAGTGAAGGCTCCTCAGAGGAGTCAGCTGACGGCCCTCGAAATAATCTGTCACAGTTAGGTGTGAGGTGGACAACCCCGGCCTGAGAGAGTCTTTCAACCAGTGTGGTTCTTGTCTTTCACCAGGCGGTACAGGTCGCACTTGATGCGACAAGAGAAGACTGGGCCTTAAGCCTGGACCAGCTCGCGCAGTACACCGACTCCATCGAGAAGGAGCTGGTCAAAATGGCCAGTAATGTGAGGAGGTCACGAACAGAGATCCTGCACCTTTCAGTCAGGTAACTGTCATTTTTCTGTTTGTCGCGATGACCTCAAAGAGGCCCGCCTCACTCTGGTTGGGCCGGAGCCAACAATCCCGGGCTTCAGTATGACTATGTTTGGATAAGTTAGCTTCCCTGAATGAGTGCGTGTGTATCGTTTACTTACTTTTCATGGTATAGACACAAAAATGTCCAATTAGACACACATATACTCACACACAAAAAGAAAACATCCACTTTTGAAAATCCTAAAAACTGAGTTCAGACCGTTAAGTGGGTTGAAATGCCTGGTAGTGTAATTGTGTGTGCGCGTGTGCATTCATGTGAGTGCACAGCTATATAAGAGAGTCACTGTGGCTCAGTCCCAGCCCAGAGAGGGTCAGACTGGTGCTCCCAAACTTTAAATGAAAAAGGGCTTATTCCCCATCCCTCGATTACCTCCCCATGCACAGTATCTTTCACTGGGCTTTTTTTCTTTTATACATAGTATTCTGAAAAAAAATTTAGCATTTCAAAATCGGCTGTGAGCGTGCTGTCTCAGATTAGCAGTTTTGTAGCTTTGTAGTTTAAAAAAAAGAAACGTGACAGACTGGGCCAGTTGGCGAACTGGCGTTGGTCACCCTGGGAAACAAAATGGGACACTGCATGGGCCTGCGGATTGGGTACAGTATGTCCACTGTACTGCTTTTATCGGAACTCCTTCCATCTCTTTTTGGACACTTGGAAATGCTTTCACAACTTGCAGATTCACAGTGACTTTGCCGTGATTGATGACGATGTGTGTCGCCGTGCAGGGTGCAGGATCAGGAGAACCAGAAGCGGCAGCTCAGTGAGGAACTGGAGCAGCTCAAGACTTCTCAAGATAGCAGAGAAGCCTCGTGCCAGACACCTGCACCAGAAGAAGAGGTCAGTTTGGGGAAAAAAATAAAAAGTAGCTCGACAGCATCTCTCCTCATTTGATTGTATTGCTTTGGCTTTGCCAGGATCAAATTATTACCATTACGATCGACTGATTCATGTTCGACATGAGGAATGTGTGCTTGGAAAACGGTGGCAGGGCTTGCAAGTTGGCTCCTGAGGACTGCAGTCGCCCACACGCGCACAGCTCCTCATCAAATTGCTCCGACATCCACTTAAAACATTTGCATCATAGTGCCACAAATACAAGCTTGGTGCTGATTCATCGCGCGAGGGTTTCGAATACCATCCCGTGAGCTGATTCTCGTCTTTGTATACGTTCTTTAAGACCGGGGATGACCTGGAATGGGATGAGGAATACGCCCTTCAAGATTTCCTGAAAAAGGACATGGCAGGGAGTAACGGTCAAGCGCGGGACGGAGGACTGGACAGCGGGCAGACGGAGGACGGGGACGAGAGGTGGACGGTGGTGAATGGCGAAGGAGAAGCGGGGCACTCGTCCACTCCTGTGTCTGCCAAGCTCGAAGCTTCCCCGGATGGACGGTGTCTGGCAGGTAACAATTTTGTATTTTATTTTTTTTTGAGTCATATGTGGAGATTTTTGAACTCAAGCCAAGCATCATCTTCAACCGAAATTGCCCCCCAAGAGTATCGAAGACTCTAGTCGGTCAACAAAATTAACTCCCAGCGAGATTAGATAACACGTCTGTAATCCACGAGTCAAAGGACACTCAGCCAACCTCGAAGCACGAGCAGGGTTCACATCCACACACGCAAGAAGCTTAGGAAGTCCGCGGAAGAAGACCCCTGCCTTCTATGGTGGTTCGATTCTCAGGGCTTGTGTGTGTGAAGGAGAACGTGTGTGTCAAAGCATCTTCCTCACGGCCCTTCTATGGCCAGGTGAAAAGCAGTCCGAGGCCACGGAGCGAGCGGTAATCCCTTCCATTCCTCTCTTGCATGAGTGGCTGGCAGGCAGAGAGACCCAAAAAAAAAAAAACGCGAATGTGGTCACTAATGCCACTTTGGCCGTGGATGAAATTCAGACCCCTGTGCCCCTCCTTCTGTGTGGGTTCTCTTTTTCAAACCCTTGTGTGGCCTTATACGGAAGTAGGCGGGGTTGCCATCTTCACCTCTGGATGAATTGGACAAAAGTTCAATTTCCGCTCATGTGCTCTTTCTTCTTTGTGTTGTCACAGAAACTCCAGAGCGGAGAGCGAACCATCATTGTTTGCAGGTAAAATGAATTCTGAAATTGCTTTGCACGGTGTGTTCACCAACATTTTTATTTTTTTTTTTATCCCCCCCCCCCCCCCCCCCCCCCCCCCATGCCGCACTATTGAAAACATGTGACATGCTGGCGCATAACATAAGACAAACAAATAAAATGAGGGATATTCATGTTAATAACAATTTCGGCATAAAATAACAACATTACCGCACCAAGAAATGAAGTGCTCGCATTTTTGTATCTTTTTAACTCATTCACTCCCAAAGACGTTTTTGAAACGTCTTTTCAGACTTGGTCCAGAATTGGCTGGTACTGAATGAGTTAACTGACTTCACGCTGAAGAATCAAAATGCTTTTCAGCAAGCCCTCACTGAAGGCTTTGGATGCGTTGTCACGTCTCCTCTCTTTCGTAACATATCGTCTTCTCGCACAAGTGTTTCTATTTCCGGAGTGTGTTTGCCTGTAGTCCGTTGCATATTCAAACGTTTTCACCCCCTTGTCTTCTATTTCCGAATACAATGTTGTGGTTTTTCAGGACGAGGCAGCAGTACCGCCGGACGCCCCCTCACAAGCTGTCAGCTCCGAGCAGCCAGCGGCGGATGCCCTGCCTGATCCGTCCCACTCAGAGAGCCGCGGTAAGACCTCCCTCCCTCCCCCCCGCCGCTGCCGCCGCCGCCGCCTCCTTTTGCTTTTGTTCAATCTCCACGCAGATCTATGCATCGAGTCGTCCGTTAAACACTTCACACTTTGAACAAGTGAGTCATGTCCTGAGTCACTTGCTTGCTGTTTCTGAAGGAAATAGAATGGTGCTTCATGGAATTTTGCAATTTTTTTTTTTTTTTTTTTAGATAAGCGAGCTTTTATTTCTGGCCGTTTCCTGAGACATGCGAGAAATGAACGCCGTCTCTGACATCAACAAGGACAGTTTGGTATTCGACTGGTTAAAAAGTCTGCCGAAGAGTTTCACGTTTAGCTTCCTGTGTGGAGAAAATTAACATAACTATAACTAGAATTGGGGGGGAAAAAAGTTTTTGTTAGCGTCGTATCAAAATGAGAGTGCTGGAAAAAAAAAAGACAAACTACATTTCATGTTCATAAAACGAAACTATTAGAGCGAAAATGTTTTTGTGTTTTGTCAATGTGTTCATTTTATTTCTGTATCTGCGGTATTTCCATGTCACTGTGCGGCCTTACAGAAGAAAAACTGGACAGTTTTTGGGGGGAACTGGAGTTTACTTTAATACACAATAGTTTGACTTCACAAATATTAATTATTATTTTTAAAAAACTAATGCTAAAATTAATAAAATTCAAATAAATGAAATATATTCAGGAAAAAAACACCTATTAAATCTGCTCTAAAAACTAAACAAACAAACCAAACAAAATAAAAACTAACCATCATGAAAAATCTCAAAATATTAACCCTGCAACCAATTTTCTTTCCCCCTCCCCCTCTCTCTTCCTCTTATTTTGGCTTTTCTTCCCAGGGGCAGAGACTAGATTGGCTCAGTCTGAAGACGCCACTCAGAATATGAGCACCTTGTCTGATCAGGACTCAACAAAGATGCCTCCCACAACCAACAATGAACCAGACGATGTCACTCCTCCGAATGAGAGGTGAGTTAAGAACCAATCTGGAAAAATTCTAAATTAATTACAAATGATCGTCAGCATTAGATATCATTCCCCAGTCCAGTTTAATCTCATCGCCGCCGTTGTCGTCCCATCTGACATCACTATTTTGACCGCGTTTCATCATTTCCCTATGACGTGATCATTTGCCAGTCAAAGGCTGTGTTCCTGTCTGTGGGAGGAGTTGCGCCGGCTCAAGAGTTCCTCCGCTGCCATGCTTTGCATAGCACAAGCCCGCCGACAAAAGAAATGCAAGCTGCTCCCCGTCAGAAATGTTGTGTAAAAACAAGAATGGGTTCGCTTCAAAGTTACTGAAATGGACGCTTCTGTGCGCAGCTCCGTCCAGCCGTCCGACGAGGGCCACGAGGGCCACGACGACGAGGGCGACGCGAGCAGCACAACGGTCAGTCCCGCAGAGGAAGTGTTTAAATGTGAAAGTGAACAGCTTCCCTTTTTTTTTTTTCTTTCCCTGCAGCGCACCACTTCCTCTGTTCTCATTCCGCTACTTAACTATGATCCAGGGGGTGTGTGTGCTTTGTCGGGAGGTGATGGGATCCGGGAAATTGTTTTCACTTTGAGGTGCCGGGTTGAAAAGTCCTTTCACTTTGCACTGCGGAGAAAGTAGAGATGAGAAAATGAGATAGATAACTGTCTTGGCTGCCATCTGCTTACCAGAAATATGGTGCCAGGAGAGGCAAGTATCTCCTATTTGATTTCTCTTGAACTTTATTTTGGCTTTCTATTCACTCCAACTCACCTTTGATCGTCGGCGACGTTCGGTTTCAGCCGTGTTAAAATTGGACATTATGTACAGTTTATAGTCTTACACAATATCCTGTTGTGTGGCTGAGAGTCAAAACGCTCACCTTACTCCATCGTGCGAATGTTCACACAAGCGTGTATGCGGGCGGTCCACCTCCACCACTTAGCACCGTGCTAGCGAATGCACGCACGCGCACGCACACGCGCAGCTGCAGAGCTCTCCACGAAACGGCACATTATGTAAGAATTCAGCCAAATGTCTCTTTCCACGCACCGTGGAGCTCAAACGGTGCCGGTCCACCTCCACCACTTAGCACCGTGCTAGCGAACGCACGCACGCGCGCAGCTGCAGAGCTCTCCACGAAACGGCAGATTATGTAAGAATTCAGCCAAATGTCTCTTTCCACACACCGTGGAGCTCAAACGGTGGCGCACTGCAATGGGACAGGTGTGCTCCGTTTTGTCAACTGTATGGCGGAAGGAGAACGTAACACGTCTCGTAACTTCTTCAGAGCCCGAGCCTGAACCAGTCTGCGCCGAGGCCGGCAACGGGGGACACGTAAGTGCCATCACCCTCCTCACATCTGTATTTTTATGTTTTTTTTTTTGGATTTGCGGTGCTAATGCCGACACTTTGGTTCTCAGCGCAAGTCCGCTTCCCGTGTTGGTTGAAGAAGAGGAGAGCGTGCGGGAGGGCAACGTCGCAGCTCCAACCGCGGAGGCCGGCATGGCAGGTAAGAAGCCGAATCCACCGGACGGCGCGGAAGGCGTCTCGTCGACGGTTTCTCGCAGCTGAACGCGAGTATCGCCACCCACGCATCTCTTCCTCAAGGGACCGAGCAGCTCACCAGCGCAAACGCCCCAACTGACGGTCGGCAGTCGAGCGTGTCCTCGGTACAAAACGGCCAATCAGAGAGTGGCGCGACCTCAGGTTCAAGTAGATTGGAAGACAAAAAGGGGAAACATAAGAAAGAATTGGTAAGATTTGCCCTGGGCCGAGTCAACATCTTTTTTTTTTTCCTAAATAAATTGCAAAAAAAGAAAAAAAATGCTTCCTCAATATTGTGATTGAGATTTAATATATGATGTATCTATTTTTTTTTTTTTTTAAACAAACACGAGCAATACATACATTAACAGTATGGCAATAAATTGTGCAATTTGCTGCAAAAGAGAGTAAAAACGGCAATTGGTTGTCCTGGACTTTCAGGAGGCGCAAGACGGGGACGCCGCAGAATCCGCAAAGGTGGAGCAGGCCAAACATGAAACGTGTGCAACCACTGAGAAAGAACGTACGTGTCGTATTAACCCTTTCATGCACCCTGTAACATGATAACATGAGAAATCTTTGTTTTTTTTCTTCCCCCCCAAAAGACAAATTTTTTTTTTTGGGGGTATGGCAATAATCCTGCGTATTTCCTCTCTAGGTGTCTTGTCAACCATCTCTGACCATTATGATTCATCCAAAGAGGATAAGCACAGGTAAGACGTGTTTACATCCATCAATATGCTTTGCGCAAATGCTGATCCGAATAATTAGTCATGCTTTCCTTTCCAGCAGCCTGTCGGCCAATGACAAGGAAATCGAGGTGTGTTCGAGCCATGTTATCAGTCGCCGTTTAACGCCAGCGCACATCGTAATAATTCTCTGGCGCGCAAACTTGGGAGTCGGGCCGTGAAAATGCTCGCCTGCTCTTTTACAGTCCGAGTTCCAGCGTTTAGCTCTGGGCTTCAAGTGCGACATGTTTACCTTAGAGAAGAGACTCCGGCTGGAGGAGCGCTCGCGTGATCTGGCCGAGGAGAACGTCCGCAGGGAGGTGTCCAGCTGCCAGGGCTTGCTGCAGGTCAGTGGATGTTCAAATATTTCACTCTGAATGGATCAAGGATGTCCAAACTACGGAACGGGGGGCCGTTTGTGGCCTTTTTTTTTTTTTTTTTTAAGTCATTCAGTACCAGCCAATTCTAGACCAAGTCTGAAAAGACATTTAAAAACGTCTTTGGGAGTGAATGAGTTTATAATAAATGGCATTTACAAAAAAAAAATATTTGACGAGCTAACGAGTAAATCGTTCGCCTTTTCATATGTTGGTGCACCATCGGGCATCCTTAACACGATCGCCATTTTTCACTTTCTTTGATTTTTCAAGCAACAACTAAGATGCTTGTAACGTGTGACTATTCAGGTCATATTTCTTTGAAAATTCCGATTTTCATCAGTTTCCTTATGATAATATACAATTTATAAAAACAATTTAGCATTGCCAAGCATATCTCTACTGACACTGATTGATTTATTTTGACTGATTAAATCAAAGGTGAAGAATGTCAGTGGCCCTTGCATCTTTTTTTTTTTTTTTTTTCTCCCCCCGCCCCCCTCTTCCCTGAATGTGTCCCCATGTCAGTAAAAGTTTGGAGATGCCCACGTTAGAGCGTGTCATTGCATCGAATTTCATGTCCAACGCGCCCTGTTCCATCCAGGCTCTGACTCCTCTATGTGAGGATGACACCCAGTCAATGGAGATCATCCACAGGCTCCAGAAGAACCTGGACATCCTCATCCAGTCCATGAGCAGAGTTTCAAGTCGCTCCGAGATGCTCGGAGCCATCCATCAGGTATGTGTGTGTATCTCGAAAGAGCTAAATATACATGGTACAATTGTTTTTTTTTTTTTTTTTTTTTTAAACCAAATCAATGGGCCCATGCCAGGAGAGTCGCATCGGCAAGGCAGTGGAAGTGATGATTCAACACGTGGAGAACCTAAGGCGGGTGTACACCAAGGAGCACGCCGAGCTGCTGGAGCTACGGGAGACGCTCATGCAGAACGAGAGGTCCTTCGGGTCGCACTCGGACAGAGGTAGACTCCGTTAACTTGGCGCCGCCGATGAGCCGTCCGCTAACCGGGCTGTGCGTTTTTATCCAGATGAATTCCGTGGCAAGAAGCCATCGACGTCACAATACTACAAGGTACCAGCGCACATCATGGCATCATTCCCTCACACCTGTCTAATGTCTCCTTTGTATGTTTATAAAGTTGTGATTACTTCACCACCCCCCCCCCTCCATTTATCCATTCAGTCATCAGCCCGGCGGGTTAGCATAGCAGCAATACCTCGTTCTGGCGGAGGCAACATGCACTATGACATGGTGAGGACGCTGTCGATGCTTTGCTCGTTGTCACCACACCACCTTGTGTCGATCGTCTCTCCTCACCGCTATCAAATAAAAATGTTTGGGAAAAAATGTACGCTACTCACAAAAGGTGGGGGGGGGATCGCTAACGCATACAGTGCACAGTTGGGCTGAGTAATAGTCAAATTGACTTTGCGAGTTGGGAGAAAATCTTTGTTTGGTTGAGTTTATTTTTTAATATCTGTATTTATATTTTATGATGGAGTATCTAATTAAGATACTTATAATATATAAAGGGAAGTCAAGACACCGTTTTGTTTGCGTTATTTTAATCTGATTTATGCTAACTGACTTGTGTTGACTTGTGTTCCACTTGTGTGGAAGGATTGAATGCAAAAAAACGTAAGGCAAAGAGTTGAGTAAGCTAACAACTCGAATTGAAATACAGAAATAAACATTTATATTATTCATGGTTTCTTTGCCTTCGTTTTATAGTAAGACTAACCTATAAGATCAACATATTCATCTATAAATAAAGCTTATATTCTTTATTATAATACAAATTCATGTACTGCTTGTGTTTATTATTAAAAAAAAAATGCAAGAGAAGATGACCTTCAATGAAATGAATATATCCATCCATCTATTTTCTGAACCGCTTTATTCTCACAAGGGTCGCGGGGCGTGCTGGAACCTATCCCAGCCGTCTTCGGGCAGTAGGCGCGGGGACACCCTGAACCGGTTGCTAGCCATTTGCAGGGCACGCAGAGACGAACAACCATTCGCGCTCACACTCACACCTAGGGACAATTTTGAGTGTTCAACCAGCCTGCCATGCATATTTTTTGGAATGTGGGAGGAAACCGGAGTACCCGGAGAAAACCCACACAGGCCTGGGGAGAACATGTCAACTCCACACAGGAAGGCCGGATTAAAACAACAGATTAAATTCCATATGATTGATGTGATATTTGGACTCGGCAGCCCACATTTCTCCAGAAACCTTTTAAAAATTTTGACACTCCAAAAATAAAAATTAAAAATTGTTGGCCTGGGTTTTTTTTTTTTTAGCCTTAGCCCACACATGAACAAAAAAATCAATAATTGGACATAAATATCCCTCGATTGTTTTGAGTCGTGTATTTCTCCTAGAAATTGTTTGCTTATTACTACGGTGACAGTTCTTGACCCTTGTCATCCGCGATACAGACCAAACAACAGGATGGTGCGGAAAGTGAAGCCGAAAGACTCACCAGGAGATCCCCATGGTAAGCTGTCCAAGTTCATTTCTTCGTCCCTCCAGCGAGAATTACGCCACTTCGATTTCTTACGTGGAGCCATGAAAAACAACACTTCCAATGACTTGCCTCGCACGCCAGAGCCACAAAACCATTTTTTGATGCCCCCCCCTCCCTCCCTCCATGTTGATAATGGTGGTTTTCAGGAATGTGGCGGGAAAGAACATGGCGCGCCCCCCACTTAAGCGCTTTGTTAGCTCTGCCGCCTGGGTTGACACGGAAGAGCCTTCCGTCGTGATGAAGGGGTAAGAAAGGTCTCACTCGTGGCGCCTCACGTATGACGATGGCTGTCGGGAGTCGATATGAGCGTGTGACGGTGATGCCGCCATTTTGCATGCCATCCGGCCGTCCCAAGTGAAGCGTTTGTCCGCAAGTCCCGTGTTGCATGTGTGGTGTTGAGCAATATACAGCGTTCGTGCAATACTAGAAAGTCCTCTTGTCGACTGGCATCGCTGTTATTTGCAATCGGTGTGTGTGCGCGCGTGAATGCCTGACCGGCGCGGCGTTCCACACAGGACGGCGGCGCGCAGTCACTCCGACCCCCAGCCGGTGGACGAGCTGGAGGAAATCGCGCCGGAGAGGAGGAGGTCCAGTCTCAGTGAGCTGGGCAGCAAACTCACCTCGCTCTTTCTGCCCCTCAAGACGTTAGTGCATCCCCCGCGCGCAGCTCTGCGGATTACGCGGCGGCCATTTTATGCTTAATTGAAGGCCACGGAAGATTCGTTTCAATTCTTCGGCGCGATCCAAATTGGGGGCGATTCAGGAATTGATGCTGGTGTCAAGTCAGCTCCGAAATGACGAAAATCTTCCAGGGTGTTCTGAACTTGCTATTTGTGCATCATTTCTGCTACTTCGGCGTTGAGACTTTGTCGTCTCAAAGTCGTGCATGAATCTCAAAGTGGCATCTTTTTGCGTTCTGTCCGCCAAGATCCTCTAACGTTGATCGAAGTGTTTTTATCCCCCCCCCCAAGAGCAAATCTCAACTGTCTTTTCCTCTTTCCCCCTTTCACATCATTCAGAAGTCAGGATGAGCTCTTTGTCATGCTGTAAGTGTTCAGTGTGGCCAAAGGAAGACAAAGTGGGCTGAAATGCATGCAAATTCATGTCTGCCACTCGCAATCCTGACTCATAATGAAGTGTTTTTGAAGCATCACTCGCCAAACGCCGCCAGCGTTTTCTCCCGCTTCCTGTCCACTTGATTCCGCTGCTGACAGTGTTTTGCGATTTTTATGCTGATGAGTTGTTTTATTTTACATCTTTCTCACCCAAGCTCTTCACTTCATCTGATTAGCATGCAGCAACGCCTTTCTGCCAACCATGTCGTCGTTCCTCATCTCGCCATTTTGACATGTTCTTTCTTCACTGACTCAACACCGCTTCTGCCCCCCCCCCCCCCCCCCCCCCCCCCCCCCCCCCCCCCCCCCCCCCCCCCCCCCCCCCCCCCCCCCCCCCCCCCCCCCCCCCCCCCCCCCCCCCCCCCCCCCCCCCCCCCCCCCCCCCCATCCAGTGCCAGCTCCTCATCCAGCCTGGCGTCTTCTGACCAAGGACTGTCCCAGTCTCTAGCCCACAGCCTGACATCCACCCGGGCGACGGCAGCCGCGGTGGCCCGAGGCAGCAGGGGCCTCTGGCTTTGGTTAGCCATGGTGCTCGTCCTCGTAGGTAGGCTCTCTTCAAGTTGTTTCTAAAAACGTGGTACCGTATTTTCCGCACTAAAAGGCGCACCTAAAAGCCTTCCATTTTCTTAAAGACTCACAGGGCGCCATAAAATCCGATGCGCCTTGTGTATGGTAATATTTTGACCCCAAAATGGCTCTTTGCTGGAGACATGCTGACAACGCAGAGTTCAAACTTAAGGCGGTCGGTTACGCAGTTGAATACTGAAATAGAGCAGCGGCAAGAAAGTTCACCGTTAACGAGTCAATCTTATAACTTGTTGTTGGTTCAGTGAACTGTGTCGCTGCTTTACTGACATCTGATCGTTCTGTTGGTGTAGCTCTAGTGGAGGCATTGTAGATTGCGTCTCATAATGTGGTGCGCCCAATGTATGAAAAAAAATTACAAAATAGGCCATTCACTGAAGGTGCGCCTCATAATACAGTGCGCCTTTTAGTGTGGAAAATACAGTAATAGTTATGGCTGCTTTGAATCTTTTTTTCGGAACAATTTTAATCACCTGTTTTGCGCAACATATTTTTTTTCCCCTTAAGATTTTACTTTGTTCTAAAATTACAAATGTTATTTTTACACTTTTTTTGTGTCATAATTTTTGGGGTAGTATTCCATTATTCCTATAATCCTTGGTGTTTTCCCCAAAATATGCCAACTTCATTATATACATTTTCTTTGTCATAATATCATTCTAGGGTTTTTTTGTGTAAAATTTGAACTTGAAATATTTGATAGATATTAATATCAACTAAGCTCGTACATGTTGGGCATTATAGTGGTACTTGGCGACCCCGTTGTTTTTGTGGGGGGCGGGGGTCGTACTTTGTATAAAAAGTTTGTGAACGTAGCCGGACCATATTACATTCTTACGTCAACCCAATTCCTATGATGTGTTGGGTAATGTTTTTGGGTCAAATGTTCTCAATTCTTGGGTCAAATCAGATCCCAAGTCTTGGCGCGGGTCAAACGGACCCAAGTGCGGGTGGTCTGTCCCCTTTTGACCCCCAGTAATTGGATGAAAATGAAACCCAATTAGGTTATGCTGACCCAACTGCTTTTAGTCGTGGTGTCTTGAAAGTGATCAGTGTGTAGCGCTAATTGCCGTCTCCTCATTAGGTCTCCTGGCCCTGTTGGCCAGCCTGGTGATGCAGCCCGCCGTCGACGCAGCCCCCGTGGGCACCGGGGACTCCTGGATGACCATCCAGCAGCTGCTCTGGCCTTACACGGGCCTGCGACACAATGGACAGCCCCCAGTTTAGTCCCCTTGCCTCACTTTTGGACCTCGGGTAGACGGTGCTACGGCCGATGGCCTTCTCCAGATTTGCCCGTGCACTTGGGGATGTTGGGGATCGTGTGACGCACTGAGTAAAACGGTCGGACGGCGACTGACGATTCCTCAGCCAGGGGGCTTGGCGGGGGACGGTGAATCGTAACCCATCATGTTTGCCAAACTCGTCCGAATCTCCGCGTGGATGCCTGTGTTCCAAAAGAAGCCGTGGCGCTGACAACCTGTCGCGGCTGCTCGACGCGGTCGCTTTTGAACCAAACTTGCATGTTGTCCGATCATGTTGTTGAGTGCACATCCGCCGAACCATACCGCAGCGCATCGTTCACGGACAGCTTTATAAACCCCACGTCATGCACTTGAAAGGTAACTGCTCTTTTATTTAATGTCCCTGGCAGACATTTTATAACTTTTTCAAGTTGATCAACACTGGTAATAAAACGTTAAGTGTTTTTAAAACTATATTTGTGACTACTTTTGAAGTGATATGTGAATTTATTTAACTTTGACAGTCTTAAAACGCAAGCTATTTTTTTCTCCACCCCAAGCCCCCTTTTTGTTTTTTGTTTTTGTTTTGTTTTTTTTTTTTTGCTGTGGTTGTCACCCTTTTCAACTTTTGTATGTTCCAAAGATGGTTGAAACTTTGCATAAATAAAGTAGCCAGTCCTACAATGGAATGTAACGTGTTTTTATCCCGCACAGGGTTTAGCAAAACATGAGCGGCCTGGTGGCGCAGAACAGACTCTGAACAGTGTCCACGAAGAGGAAGTGAGCCTCTCGGGTTCGACTTATCCCTTCGGGGCTCATGTTGTCCTGCAGCATGTGGATGAAGGTGGAGTGAAACTCGCTGTCGGGATGGTGGTCGGCGCAGAAAACCTCACTCGTTTCCGTTATCTCCAACTTTTGGAATCTCTGAGCCGCCACCAGGTAGAGACTCCACAGGTCTTCGGGTGGCGGGTTAAGGCCTTGGTGCTCACAGACCTGACACGGCGAAATTGGGTTCGGTTAAAATGTCCACAGAGGTTGTTTAGACAAAATGGACATATGGAATGCGGACCCAACCTTAATGACAAGATGTTCCGGACCACATTGGGCGTTCCATTTGCTCCATGAGAAGGCGCAGACCGATGCGAACAGGGCCATCTGTTCATAGGCAACGTGTTCCCTAAGTGGGTCCTTTTAGACAAAACAAGCCACATGAACCCTATTGTGCAAAAGTTATTTTGACAGTAAAAATAAATAAATAGGTTTACTGATGCGTGTGTGCCTTATGGTGAGCAAAACTTGTGCTCAAGGGCCTTTTTTTTTCTTTTTTTAATAGACTGATTGAAGAGGTTGTTCATAGGGGGGTTAAAATAAGTCATTTATTTTAGGAGAAAATCTTATTGTTTTGATATTATTTCATAATAGACCACTACTTACCCTTTAAAATAAAACAACTTTTTTTTTTTTTTTTAATTGACAATCAAAAATGTTCAATTTGTATGTTAAATTTTCTGTTGGACGAATACTGTCTAGTTTACAATGTCCATGGAATAAGTGATATTTTAAAATTTGCAGTTGATCAATTAGCCATTGTTTTCAATGTTGAACGTATGCAATATAAAATGACTTGACATTTACTTTTCAATATGTCAATAAACCATTTAAAAAATGTAATTCAATACATATTTTTAATGTTCTCTCTGATTTAATTACATTTATTAGGACATCAAGTGCAGAAATATGACAGAAAAATGTGAACTATATATAGGAAGAAATGTATATGAATGTTTATAATTAACTTGACCAACTATTGAATGGATTAAAACAAGTTCAATGTATGGTTTACTATTATCTATTTACAATAATTGACCAGTCATTGAAAATTGTACGAGTCGGTTTTTAACCATGCAAATTTTTTTTGTTTTTTTGTTTTTTAAAAAATGTATTGACCAACTTTGAAGGGGAAAAAAAGTGGACGCGATCTCATCCTGAATTGGCATGAATACGACGACGATACAGAATATGGTTGTCCTCTTTTTGTTTTGTAACTCTATTAACAATCTAATTGTGTTCAAGACTTTTTTGCTGTAGGAGATGGCGTTCGATGGCGACCTTGCGACAGGAAGTGACGAACTTCTCGGTGTGTTCGTTGACGAAGACGTTGATCCCCGCCTTGACCATGGCCTGCTGCAGGTCGGGCGCGCTCATCCACTTGCCAAAAAGGTTGGTGAGGGCCACCTCTCGGTCTGTTTGCAGCATGCACTGATTCCCCTGGAAAACAGACAAAAAAAAAACCCTTTCACAAATTACCCTCTGTGTCCTCCTCGGCTTTCTTTGATGCCCACCTGGATGGTTATGCTGAGGTCAATGAGTGCCCCGTGGATGCTGAAGAGAGCCGAGTCTTTACCAAGCGGGCGCAGCTCCCAACTCCGGAAGGGAAAGTTGGCGTAGGTGTGCTGCATCAGTACGAATGGGTAGAAAGAGTCCATCTTGAAGGACACCTTTGTCACCCCGCCCGCCTCCTCCACCTCCGCCACCTCTCCCTCTTCCTCTTCCCCCTCCTCATTTTGCGCATGCTCTTTTACAGAGAAGTCGCTGATACCGTCCGTCCGCCAATACTTGCCTAAAATCAGAGATTTACTGAATTAAAGTACAGTTCATTTGTGTTTGATCTTTAAGTACAATACATTTATTTACAATGGTCTAAATTGCTTCAACTCAACTCAAATGTATTTATAGAGCACTTTCAAACAGCCATCACTGCACACAAATTGTAACTAATTATTTAATAATTCTATTCGGCACTGTTACTCTACATCGTCACAGTATATTAAGTCATAGCATTTACATACACTCTTGGCAATGGTACTCAGTATTTACTTGTTGCGGGAACAGACACAAAGTTGAGGGGGCCGTAGCCCCCCTGTGCCACCCCCTAGAACTGCCACTGCTGAAACTTGAAAATTAACTCCAACTGAACTGTATTTGGGCAATGATTAGTTTGCGTACCAGGAGTAGTCGCAAATGTTGCAAATCACTCAATTAGGACAGGCGATTGGCTAAAATTATAAATTCCCTACCTTCTGCATCCCAGCGGCCCACTCGAGGGGTTTCTAGGAAGACCACCGTATCAGGGAGCCTCACAGACAAACCGACAAGTGGGCAAGTGGCTTCCTCATCTTCTGTTTGGTTTGATTTCTCGGGAATATACTGGAAAGCTTTCAACCTGGCTTCCGATATCTATAAAACACTTTCAAGTCATGATCGACAGAAGTAATCATCCTGAAATTTCAACTGATGTGTGGATTTTGATCCACCTTTCGAATTTCCCAGCCTTTGACGTGATGAGATTGCGGCGGAAGGTGGAACAATTCGTAGTAGAAGACTCCACCCAGAGGCGTGTACTTCCTCAGGTCCACTGCCTCGACACCCTCACCGTAAAACATCATGTCGTCCTCTGGTGGCGGAGGGGTCACCTCGGCTGGACGGAAGGTGAGAGAATACAGCTTTGTCGTGACTTAAAAGTTTTTATCTTTGTTAGTTTACACTACCAGGGGCGAAAAAAAAAAGGATCTTTCAAGGTCCAATGGTTTGTCATTCGGGCAGTCCCCTCAAGGGTGCGTATTGGGACCCTTATAATTTGTACCGTTTGAAGGCAAGTATGTACTTCAGGGTACTGTCTAGGTCAGGGATGGCCAAGCACACCTGATCAGTTTGAAGCTGTAATAACACCTTTCACCATTAGATGGCAGACACCACTTAAGAGCCCTTTCACCTGTTCATCTCCAATTTAAAAAGAACATAGCGATGGTGACAGCCAATTTAGATTTTGTGGCATTTTAGAGTTGCTCAAGATAATTGGAGGGGCTTTTCAACAGCTGAGTTCTTATTGTTTTGCTCACAAGTCACAGTTTCATGTTACCAACGTGCAATTTAAATTTAACATGACAGTTTTTTTGTATATCCACCATTTATGTCTTGGGGTTCTATTGTGAATCCCGTCGGGTACATCACAAAAAGTTGTACCTTGGGAGAACAAAAATGGACCGCCACAGTTCTCTTTTTTTTTTTTGACAGTGTGCTTTGGGATCCGAAGTGGATCCGGCTTACCTGCAAGGACCTCCATCTGCGTTACGATCTGGTTTTCGTCGTCCTCTGCATGGACACTGGCGCCTGACAGTTGACTTTCTGAAGGCTCCACGAAAAAAATAATGTAAAGTCTGTGTATGTATTCTTTTATACATATTAGAACATCGCTGATTTTGTGATTTTAACTGATATTAAATCCAACATGCTTGGATTTAAATGATTCAAGGTTTTGACCTTTTTTAGAATGTTCTGTGGTGGGGCGTGGCCTAACCTTGGCCTCTTCAGACTCTCGGGCTGGTGGCTCTTCCTCTTCCACAATTTGCTCCGACTCCTGCTCTTGGGCGGGCTCCTCTTCCTGCTCCTCCTGCACCTCCTCCTGCGTCTCCTTCGGTTCTTCATCCTGCTCCGGTATCTCCGGCGGAAGCTCATCGAATGTGGTAAGCAACCTGTATCACACGGCAGGGCATGGATTTAACAATTCTACAGAGTCATGGGGGGCGGTGGGTGACAGACCTGGGTGGTGCGACGGTTATTTCCATGTGCGTCATCCTGGACACTGTGGACAAGTGGTCATAGCTGGTGTGAAGGACCCGCACGGCAATGTTGCTCATCGCGAGCTGCTTGGTCAGCTCAAAGCCCATGCCCACCTCCTCGAAGGTCAAACATTTAAACCTGAGATGTCACACAAACCAATGAAGACTCCACATGTAATTGTCCTACCTTAATGACCTTCCATTCAGTACCTTGACTTCCTCATGAGATTGGCCCACACACACACCGTGGTGTTTTTGTCTTTCATCACCGCCTGCATGTTGCCTGTCTCCGTATCAATGCAATTGCTGGCTCCCTAAACATAGACCAGACAAACTTAATTTGTACACTTTCGCAACCGAATCATGATTTATGATTTGGGATCACAGGGATGCCCCATGGAACAATATAACGCCCACTGCAGCACACTGGAATGTATGTAACTAACAGTTTATCTTTCCATCTGTCCATCCATCATCCAAACAAACAAACCAGCAAGTAAACATGCATGCAATACAGTTACTAATGGATATAAAAAGTCGACACACCCCTGTTATAATGCCACCTTTTTGTCACAAGAGTAATCATTTCCACCATGAACGCAACCTCCAACTTGGAACAACAACCTGTCAGAACTCAACTGAAAAAAAAAGCTTCAAGAGGGGAAGTGAAAATTAATCAATGATGTGATAACATAAGTGTTCACACCCTCTTACAAGTGTGAATATGGCTGTGTTAACTAATCACATTCAAAATCGTGTTAAAAGGAAGTCAGCCCACACCAGCCTTGGGTTGACCCAATTTATTTATTTATTTATTTATTTATTTTTAGGGGGAATTTTTTGGGGGATATTCTTGTCGGCTTTTCTTGACATCTTCGTCTAATTTTGGACTGTTTATATCACATACAAATACGCATTCATAACTGCCTTCAGCGACAGGCACGTCCACATCACTGACCATTGTTATTATATCATGAAATATAGTCAAATGAATACACTTCAAAACTGAACATTATTTTTTCTTTGTCGAGGCTAGATTTATTATATATACAGTATATTAGAATAAGGCATAACTTGAGTGGCCACGGTGCACCTTGAGGATGTCCATGCTGATGTTGAGAATCTTGGCATAGACCATGTCCTGGAGATACAGAGTCATGGGGGGCGGTGGGTGACAGACCTGGGTGGTGCGACGGTTATTTCCATGTGCGTCATCCTGGACACTGTGGACAAGTGGTCATAGCTGGTGTGAAGGACCCGCACGGCAATGTTGCTCATCGCGAGCTGCTTGGTCAGCTCAAAGCCCATGCCCACCTCCTCGAAGGTCAAACATTTAAACCTGAGATGTCACACAAACCAATGAAGACTCCACATGTAATTGTCCTACCTTAATGACCTTCCATTCAGTACCTTGACTTCCTCATGAGATTGGCCCACACACACACCGTGGTGTTTTTGTCTTTCATCACCGCCTGCATGTTGCCTGTCTCCGTATCAATGCAATTGCTGGCTCCCTAAACATAGACCAGACAAACTTAATTTGTACACTTTCGCAACCGAATCATGATTTATGATTTGGGATCACAGGGATGCCCCATGGAACAATATAACGCCCACTGCAGCACACTGGAATGTATGTAACTAACAGTTTATCTTTCCATCTGTCCATCCATCATCCAAACAAACAAACCAGCAAGTAAACATGCATGCAATACAGTTACTAATGGATATAAAAAGTCGACACACCCCTGTTATAATGCCACCTTTTTGTCACAAGAGTAATCATTTCCACCATGAACGCAACCTCCAACTTGGAACAACAACCTGTCAGAACTCAACTGAAAAAAAAAGCTTCAAGAGGGGAAGTGAAAATTAATCAATGATGTGATAACATAAGTGTTCACACCCTCTTACAAGTGTGAATATGGCTGTGTTAACTAATCACATTCAAAATCGTGTTAAAAGGAAGTCAGCCCACACCAGCCTTGGGTTGACCCAATTTATTTATTTATTTATTTATTTATTTTTAGGGGGAATTTTTTGGGGGATATTCTTGTCGGCTTTTCTTGACATCTTCGTCTAATTTTGGACTGTTTATATCACATACAAATACGCATTCATAACTGCCTTCAGCGACAGGCACGTCCACATCACTGACCATTGTTATTATATCATGAAATATAGTCAAATGAATACACTTCAAAACTGAACATTATTTTTTCTTTGTCGAGGCTAGATTTATTATATATACAGTATATTAGAATAAGGCATAACTTGAGTGGCCACGGTGCACCTTGAGGATGTCCATGCTGATGTTGAGAATCTTGGCATAGACCATGTCCTGGAGATGGAAGAGTGTTTCCTGGTATTTGGGGATGTAATTTGCATCGGTCACCTCCCTGAGCAGCATCTCCAGCTCTTCGATCAGCTGCCAGGGACACGATAACCACTCAAAATAAGGAGGGGGACATGTTGTAGGGATTGGAAAGAAATGCAGACCTGTAGGGCGACGTTACACTGCTGGAACACGGTCTTTATGCTGCACTCCGGGTCATCCCTCCACAAGCTGATAAACGTGTTGATATCCTGCTGCACTGCCGGGTCCGGGATGTCACTACATTGCATGTATTTTTTCCACTGTATGAACACAAATGACTCGAATGAATTTGTGAGGGTATCAAACTTTGAATGGTGTAGACACAATGGAGACTTGAGTCAAATAAAAATGAAAATGGAACTGGGGTGTGTAGACTTTTGTTGTTTTAGTTTTTTTCTAACTGTACCTTGGACATTTGTGCGGCCTCACTTTTATATTTCATGACAGCCAAATAATTCTTTGCCAGAAGGGAGCGTAGTTCTCCCACCTCAGCGCCCCTGCGTTTGCTGTCCTTTAAGCAAAAACAACACAGGATGTTATTTTGCCAAGTATGCATTGCTATGTTATTAGGGTACCTTCGCCTCAAGCATATCTAATATTTCCTGTCTTCTTTGCCTTTCCAACCTTTCCTGTTCTTCTCGCTCGGCTTGAATCCGGGCCTCCTCTGTCCACCAAAACAACTTGTGACACATGGGCACTTGAATGCATTTATTAAAACATTTTGAGATATTTGACAACCTTCCTCTCGCAACCTCCGTTGCTCCTCCTCAAGCTTCAGCCTCGCCTTTTCAGCTTTGGTCAGTTTGGGGCCCTTTTTACCCTGGAATCCAGCAAAATAACATCCAAGCATATTATAAAGAAGGTGGTTCTGCAACTGTGTGTTAGTGACAGAAGAGGCATTCATGCACAATTAGTCTAAAATAAAGGCAAAACTAATGACACTGTTGATATTACCTTTTTCTTGGGAGGCTTTCAGTCAACCACAGGAGATAGAACAAGATTTTTTTGAAAGAGGAATCACAAACCATGCAATTCAAAGATGAGAAAGAAATATTAGAATGTGCAATACAGAGATGGATGAATTGTTCGCGGTACAAAACTCACCATGACGACCTTGTGTGGCCCGTTTTTAAGGAACTGAAAATGGAAACTAAACAGTTAAGGACCCAAATAGTAACAAATATGAGAGCGGGTGTTGAGTCATTCACTTTGGACAATAAAATGCAAATAAAATGCAATAAAACAGCTTCTCATCCTTCTCGTTCGTATGTGATTTCAACATTTCCGGGCGACGTCTGATCTCCACGGCAACCGATACAAGCAAAAAAAATTACCGTAACGCCGAACGCAGCGGCGCATAACCATTTTTAGCCGTGCGTTGAAATCGTGGCTATGTCGTCACCGAAATTGTGCAAAGATACTTTAATATATTTCGTCATTCATGAAAAAAATGTATGATTACAATATCCTGAATAAAACGGGAACCTTTACATTTTATTTTCGTGAAGAAAATTCCACAAAATAACAAATGTAACCAATATTCTTCCTTGGACCACATTTTTCGTACAAGGCAACAATCGAAATATAATGTAACAACTGAATTTAAAAAGATGGTACTTGCAGCACCAAAAACTTCTTTACGCCAGTGTTGTGATTTACGACATTAATAACAACATACGGCAGGCTGCTCCACAACCTTTACCACAAGGATAACGTGAATACCCTGATTAAATTTGACTGTATACAGCTATAAACCAACACAAAAAAAATCAACGTGTGTATGTATCTCCTTAACATTGTTCTAATATTCGCTAGAATAATTGCTATGTGATTTAAAACTGTTAGCTTATGTGTTATTGTTAAGCTAAAGCTATTCCATAGTGCTCGTCAGTCGTCCATTATTTTCTTTTTGCAACATTCAAGTTTCTGATAGTTTTTTGATGCCTCTTCTTTTCGGTTTAGGGGTGTCGCCCCACTTCCCACATGGCCAACCCACTTCGCGGTGAAGTGATTCGACTTTACAAAAACGTAAGTGAACTTTTGGCGTCATTCATTCAGACTGAGGGATTTGCTTTATTTCCCATTAAACAAGATAAGCTGAAACATATTCCCACCCTGGTTTTAGCCCAGAATTAATTTGGGTCACCTTTTACATAAATAATAAAAAATTATATAGTTTTTCTTCATCAATAAATGTTTTGATCTCGGAAAGAAATCCCTTTTCTCATTTTCTGTAATATAGGTACAATATTCGTAGCGTGAATTCACATGTTTAGGTTCAAATGTTTGCAACATGTCAATAAATCACTGCATTTGTTAGCCAAACTGTTTAGTTAACAATGCTAACTGCATTTGTAAAAAAATAACAACCAGGCAGAATTAGATTTAATCGAACCAATTTGCTCTGCTTTATTTCCATTTTATGTTTTGTATATGGTGTTCTGATGTCTCAATGTCCTCTCCAAAAGCTGCTCTATCTCGGTCGGGACTACCCAGAGGGATCGGCCTTTTTCCGAGAGCGCCTCAAGTCGGCCTTCATGAAAAATAAAGATGTGACGGACCCCGAGCACATCAAAAAGCTTGTGGGACGAGGAGAGTTCGTCATCAAGGAGCTGGAGGCACTCTACTTCCTCAAGAAATACAGAGCCATGAAGAAGAGGTACTATGACCCGGAAACATAATTCTATCACGGATGTAAGCATTACGATGAAATCCTAGCCTGGACTATCGTGAAGACTGGCTTGGTCCATTTGTCATGATATTTTAAATGTAAGATAATTCAGCATTTTTTTTTTCCCCACACAAGCACTCTTGGACACAGAATCAAAAGTGAGCATTGGAAAATGTTACTTGGTTTTGAACTCTTGCAGAAGTCGTTTGTGCACGTTGAATACATAAAGACCAATGGAGCCATAATTACACAACTGTAACTGTGAATTTATCAATACCAACAAAACATACAGCTGTACGTTCATCATGACGATGATGTTCGATGGATTCAAGGGGAATTTGTGACAAATGAATGTCAATGTATGTACAGTCAATCCAATCTATGTCGTAAGTACAACCAAATAAATGGGAATGAAACATAAAGGCCTCGCGTATTTGGATTGCCTTCATCGTCTTTCATAGTTGACTCAAATGCGAAGGCGGGGGGATTATCTGGGCCCTGTTGCCCACCCGAAGTAACACGACGAGACCTGACAGACAACAGCCCTGACAGATTTTACCTTGTAAAAGAAGCCCCATTAAAAACCCGCCAATGATTCCAAAGATGCTGAACGAGACCAACATTCAAACACCCATTGAAAAACTGATGAGTTATTTCACATCCAAGTTTTGCATTTTCAGAAGAAAAACTGTTCAAAAAATTAATGCACCAAATCGTTTCTTTTGCTATTTAAAAATATATATATTATTCCCAATAAATGCAATGAGTTGTTTTAATGAGATAAACTACAAAAAAAAGTCATTGTAAAATACAAACAAAAAATTGTTCCAAAGGAGTCAACTGGTCAACGTCACCCGACCAAACCCAAACAGGTGACAGTCGTTACCTCAGCCCTTCGGCACTGTGATGTCATTTTAAGTTGACAGCAAGTGTCAGTACAAGACAAAATGGCCGCCCCCTGAGATGGATAAAAACAATTCATATTCCACAAATGTAATATTATTCAGAATCCCATGTTTAGACGCGTGGAGGTGCATAGAACACATTATTGTAAAGTTAATTTTTTTTTTAAATCATTTGTTGCATGTATTTTATATTTGCCCTGTTTCATCACACTCACTTCCAAAAGTCAAGATCAGTAAATTAGCCAAGCTAGCATAGTGCATACATACACACACCATGTTTTTGTGACTAGCTTTGCATATTTTTTTTCTACAAGCTTGTATTCCTCATGCCATTTGACACTTGTATCAGGATGACCTTCACGAAAATATTTTACAAACAGAATTATGAATTTTACATTAGCATAGTTTTAGCTAAAGTCTGAGCTAATCATTGAGACTTTTACATTTACATTAGTACTGTACTTTTACAGACTTTTACTTTTATTACACTTTTACATTAGTACCATCCATCTTAAAATTGTTGCAATTCATATGTCATATCTATTACATCTACTTTGTTGATGTTACAGAGTCGAACGTTTCTTTATTTATAAAAACTTCGGGGACTCGCCGTCTGTGCAAACGAAACCGGAAGCACAGGACAGAGCGCTCGGAAACAAAAGCGGAAGTGAACGACAGCGAATCATCTCGATCAGTCTTCCCGCATCACGTCCCCACGCGTCAGATCTTATATTTCCCATGATGCCTTGTGTCCATCATGGCTGCGCTCTACTATCCGGCACGCGTGTAAACACTCGTAAATGTAGCGTTGAGAATTCACGAAGAAAATATTTAAATGAATCATTTTGAGCGCGCGGCGGCCTCCGACCACATTTGAAGACAAACGACGAAGCCGAGATGAAGATCAAATCCAAGTCTGCGCATCACAGATCCGAGAACACCTACAGGGTAAGAACACTGAAATTATAAGCTGTGTTGTGTACACGTGTGGAAGTACCTTCATACCCTTTTTAACAACCTTTTTTAATTTTACACTTAACGCCTTTGTATTCAAGCTCATTGGCTGCAACGTGCAAACTAGCCCATAGTCGACTTTTTGTGCGTACTTACAAATTGCTTACTATACTGTTCAATTATACTAATGCATCTTTTACACAACTTATTATGTTGGAAATACACCTTGCAGTTTCTTACCTTTGCTGAGCGGCTTGCCAATGTCAAGATCAACGTCATCCACCGGATTGACAGAACTGGATCCTATGCAGAGGTATGCCCTTAAGATCAATCAAGCATTTTAATTTACTGAGGTAACTCACTCATAACGTCATTTTGGAATGCAGGAAGTCGATACCTATTTCTTTGAAGGCCTGACAAAATGGAAAGACCTCAACGTGACGGAAAACTTCAGTATGTCCAAAGCAGAACGATTGCCGCGTTGTTTGTAATTTAGTTCTGATTCACCACCTCTTCTTCTTCTTCTTCTTCTTCAGCTACATTTTTGAAGGAGGTCTCCAACAAGTGTCAGTCGTTCAACATGCTGGTTTTCCATCAAAAGTCTATCGTGGAGAGTCTGAAAACACACCTGGCAGTCACCAGCAGTCTGGCCTACCAACCTCTTCTTGAGTAATATGATTAATAGTAGCACTTTTGTTTGGCTAAACCTGACCTGCCTGATAATTAATTCCCAGTCTGGTGGTGCGGTTGGCCCGAGACCTGCAAACCGACTTCTACCCTCACTTCCCGGACTTCTTCACGCTGATCACAGCAATGCTGGACACCAAAGACACGGAGGTGCTGGAATGGGTTTTTACATGCCTCTCCTACCTGTACAAGAACTTGTGGAGGCTCATGGTGAAAGACATGGACAACATCTACAGGTGAAGAAGACTACCGTTGTCTTCAGCGAAATAGGATGAAAATTCTGGTCATATCGGTGTATTCAAATTTTTATATTTCCTCCTGTCAGCTTGTACAGCAAACTACTGGAGCACAAGAAGGAGCACATCCGCAAGTTCGCAGCAGAGAGTTTTGCATTTCTGATGAGAAAGGTAGGTCTTGAATGGCCTAGAATCCATTTTTATGTTTTGATACAAGTGTACAAGTCTTCAGTGTTGTCCTATCCCGTAGGTTCCCGATCTGGACGCCCTGCTGTCTCTCGTGTTCTCCGACCTGCAGCAAAATCCTGACAAGGCAGAAGGCGCCGGCCAGCTGTTGTTTGAGATGTGCAAAGGTGTCCGGCACATGTTTCACTCCTGTGCGGCAACCGTAAGAGACGCTTTTGTTGTCAAATGACGTAAAATGGTTGCGTAAAAGTGGTTTCAGTTGGAGTTTTTGACCCCAGGCTTCTCATTATATACTGACTTTGTCTCAACCTCTCCTCGAACTAGGCACTCCCTGCTGCGCTACGGAAGATGGGACCTGCAACCAACCAGGGAGCCCCTTTACCGTGGGACCTGGTGCGAGATGCGTTGGATCACACAGCCCAGGCTGCAGCCAATCATGTGGACAAAGAGCACTTCTTGGTTTTTTGGGAGTCCCTCCAGGTAAGAAGGCTGAGATGCCGGGTTTTAGCTTGGTTGGTGGTCAGCATTACATTCAGTGAAACATCACTTAGATGGAAAATATGGCAAGTAGATCAATATTTTGTGATGCTTTTGATGACAAATAAGTGATGTCGTTTTTTTTAATATATATGCCAATTTAATAAAATGTTGAAAATATAATTTCTTAAAAAAATATGCATTTTTGTGACACATGCACACTGTTGGACTCCAGCTCCTGCCATCACTCAATTGCCCATCCCCCTTCAAGGCACAAATCCAATCGGACAGTCCTGTATACAGTGGTACCTCTACTTACAAAATTAGTTGGTCCTGGAAGAAATTTCTTAACTCGAAAATTTTGTAAGTTGAAACGCGTTTTACCTGTAAATGCCCGAATCCGTTCCAAGACCCCACAAAATGCAGACAGAAATGTTTTCTAAAGCATAAAAATGCTTAAAAAAAGATTCAAGTTACAATTAGTTTATTGCACAATAAATGAGAGTTGTGCATAGTGTAAAAAACAAAGAATATAAATGATGGTCATTTAACTTTTAACTGCGTCCTCGTCGTTTTTTGCCCTCTTTAGTTCACGTTCTCTCTCAGAAGTGGTTTTTGCCTGGCGTTTTGTAAAGAAATGATCCAAGGACGTTTGCTTTTGTCGGCTTTTAGCAATCCTTTGAAAATCTCCAAGGCAAACATCAGCATAAGGAGTGATTGCCCCACTTGGTGAACACTTTTTCTGGGTGATACACATGTACGTAAAAGGGGCAAATGACGAGGATGTTGCAAAGACACATATCTATTCATCGATCGACACACACAGACAAATTCGATAGAGGTCCCTCTTAGCCAATGGGCTGCCAGGATGATGCTCAGTATTAGCCAATGGTAGAGCAGCTATAAGTATGTTGCGTTCAGGAAACTGAGCTGTGAGTAGCTGCCCATATTGTATTTTTCCCCATCAGATCTTGAAATTTCTTTTGGAACAAGAGGCAATATTTTCCCGTTGTGGCGTTTCGTAACTTGAAAATTTCGTATGAAGAGACGTTCGTAAGTAGAGGTACCACTGTATTGTAATTACACTTCATAAAAGCAATTTAGATTTTCTTTTTTGGGTGGAATGGTATCTAATACAATGCTATTTTTCTTTATTTAAAAACACAACCAAAACTTGCTTTTTAGAGGGCTGGAACAGATTGTAGGCATTTCAGTTCACGCCAATGTGGAAAATTGAATTACAAGCTTGGTCAAAAAAATGAATTCAACTTTGCAGACAAAGTATAGTCATTTGTATTCTTTCATTCATTTATTGAAATAAGGAACCGTTTTAAAGTCACATGGACCGACTTCTTGGGTATTGATCGTGAAGAGCTCCCGGTTTTGTGCACACTTCGGACCTCACAAAATGGCTCCAATTACCTTGAACGGTGTTACAAGCAATAATTAATGATAAATCGTGTTCATGATTTCCTGTGTCACCTACGCTTGAATTCACAGGGTGGTGTGGACGAAGTTTTTAGTATTTTGGAGGCCAAGGGAGAGGAGGCTGGCCCCGCAGGCGAGCAGCTGGAAAGGCTGCTGTTCGTCCTCCACACCTTGGTGTCGCACAAGGACGGCGCGAAGATCACAAAGCCGGAGGCCGTCTGCCAGGTACAAACGGAGCACCGTCGTCATCTCCTTCGAAGCCGGTTCAAGTTCTAATTGTCACCAAGTGTCATTCTTGTCTCGTAGACCGCGTTGCGCCTCGTGCAGAGCGCGACGCTTTCCGCGCCCTGTTCGCGGCTCCTCCTCCAAATCTTTTCCTCCCTGCTGCTCGGGGAGAACGTCCGACTCCCCGATGCTCTCGTCCAGGAGATAGTCCACAAGGTATGCCTGATTGATTTGTGTTTGTGTGTGTGTGTTGGGAGGTGGGGGCATCGAGTTTGGTCTTAGAACGAATTCAAGTTGCTAAGTTGGGGTATCACTGTATTGTGGTCCACTGCGCAAATGCTCCTCCTCATCCTGCAGGTGTTTGCCAGCTCAGTGGGAGAAGACCTCATCCTGGAGTTCACCAAGGAGATGTTTCCCATGAAGCAGTTTGAGCAGGTGAGTTGGTGTTGTCTTTTTTTTTTTTTTTTTTTTTTAATGAGCTTTTTGCAATAATGCCCTCTCTCTTGCCGACTCCAGCTCTTCCTCCCCACCCTCCTGCGCTTCACCGCCGGCTTGTTTACCTGCGGCGATCCCGTGTCCCGCCACCGTGCCCTCGAGGTGCTCGTCAACTTGATCCTGGCCAAAGCGGCGCCGCCGACGGACGGCGCCATGGCGTTTGAGACCTACCCGCTGCTCTTCACGGGACAGACCACCGGGTGACTTGAGAGTTTTAAGTTGTTCTGTGTGAGGTACAGGTTCAAGCCGTGTCAAAAGAAATAATGCTTTGGCGCCATCTTGTGGCATCGTGACTACTTTAAAATATCAATAAACTGAAAAGCTGCAGCACGTCGAAGTCAAGGTACCACTATGTCTCAATTTAACGAAGCTTTACTGATTTTTTTTTCTTCAATGTTGTATTTCTTGTCAGCCTGTTCAGTCACCAAGGGAAACCAGAGCAGAGAGCAGTGCCTGAGCTGGTGCTGTCACTCATCGCATTACCTGAGCAGCAAAACGGGCCCGTTGCAGATCTGTCGCTACCTTGGAGCGCACTGGTGCTGCTGCCTCACCTCAGGTAACATGTCAGGGACAGGGCGATGGGGCTTAAAAATAGTCTTTTTTTGTTCATACAAATCCGATTTTAATAGATTTTTTTTCCACCTCCTCTTTTTTTGGTTATCGAAAAAGCAAACCCCTATGATGTTATTCAAAATTAATTTTGTTGTCTGTTTTTTTTTTTCACCATCTGGGATTTCCTGACACAATATTTTCTGGAAAGTTTTTTCTTAAACTTGCAGCCACATAATACAAATACATTTTCTGGACACGTAAGAAAATAAGGGGGAAATGTTTCTAATCAAAACATGAAAACACAATTCTGAATAAATTGTCTTTGTAAATGTTCAACAATAAAATTAATTTTTTTTTATTAAAAAAGGCAAATTAAAATGAGTTAAAAAAATATAAAAATTGTCCTGACAAACTTAATAGCGAAAATTATTTACCTGCATTTGTATCATGTTGCATTCACAGAAAGAATTATTCTACTTTTGACAAAAATACTGTTTTTTCTTTTTTTTTTTTTCTTTTTTTTTTTGTCTTTTGTAGGCCTCTTGTTCCAGCTAATGTCTTCCCCGCAGTCACTGCCTTTTTAAATCACTTACTGTGTGAAATTGAGATGGAAAAACTGGCAAAAGGTATTCCATCTTGTTTTCCACCCCCTTGCAATTCAACAATTCATTTTTGATTTTTAATTACTGCATTGTTGTTAACCTTTCCGTCTCCCCAGCTGGTTTGTTTGTTGCCACACAAGCCCTAAGCTGCCTCCTCACTCTGGACAGCTCGGCTGGGCCGCTCTCTTTGGTCCCTGTGGACAAAGTCACTGCCATCCTACGGTATTTGTGACAAAATATTGCAACACTAAGGAGTAGGCCTTCGATAACAAGGCTTTTATGGTGTGCTCCTTTCAGGAAGTTCCCCACAGAGCTGTCAGCCCTGCTTTTCGGAGACCTCTATTACACCCGCCTGTCCTTGAGTGGTGCTTCCGAGCACCTATCTCATGATGCACTTCTAGACGTTTACCAGATTCTGCACAGCAACGTGTCCTCTAACATATCCAAGGTGCCAAGACTTACATTGGTGCATCATGTACCGTATTTTTTGCATTATAAGGCACTTCGGATTATAAGGCGCACCTTCAATGAATGCCCCAATAAGGCGCATAAAATGGAAGCCACATTAGGTCTGCGGTTGCGCTATGCATCCACTAGAGGGAGCTATGCTAAACGGAATACAATACAATTCAGTTAATTATTTATATAGAGCCTTCACAGCCGCTGCAGCTTGAACAAAGCCGTGAGAACTGGTCACAAATACGGTCATGAAACATATAAATACAAATGGCATGACAAAACAATACATGAAAGACAAAAGTTACGAAGACAATTGAATCAACAAAAAGGCACACAACCCTCATGGGCTCACATCCACAAGGGGGCTAAATATCCTTTGATGTCTTGCTTGGCTCCTTCTTCCTTCGTTTAGTCAGTAGTTAACTATGCTTTTGGTATTATCTTTGCAGACCTCACAAAGTAGTTGTCTCTTTGAGCGCGTGTTGGCAAATACATGTCGGACGGAAAACACATTTTAGGTTACAATTGGTTCCTGCAAATCACCACTCGATGGCGTAGGAACACTACCAGGGAAACAATAGCGACTATAAAGAGACTGTAACTAACAAACCATATATAAGGCGCATAGGATTTTAGGGTGCACTGTCGGCTTTTTAGAAAATTCAATGCTCATGGGTGCGCCTTATAGTGCGGAAAATACGGTCGTCATGTGAACATGCTTTTATGAAAATGACTTCTTATTTTCTAGATGCGTCTGCTGACCCTGCGGATCCTTTCGCACTTTGAGCCCAAGCTTCCTGCCCCAGAGGAGGTATAGCTCTCACATTTTAAATTAAATTCATTCTCAATAGACGCCGTTGATAACGCGTCCAATGGCTTTTCTTCCGTCCAGCCTGATGAGAGCATGGAGGCGCAGCCGGTGTTCGCCATGTGCCTGCAGGCGGAGCTGGTGCCCGCCTCCCTTCAGGACTACCGGGAAAAGCTGCTGTACCTGCGCAAGCTGCGGCATGACCTAGTCCAGCGCAGCTTGCCCCAGGGGCCACACGGCACCTTCCAGCAGGTACGGATGAGATCATCAAATTCCCCCAGGAAATTTGAAGCACTGTGACGAAATGAGCTAAGTTTACTTTGTTGCTGAGAAAACCGTCGTCGTGGGATGACAGCCTTTGTTTTACGAAACAGGCCAAGATTTGAAATTTGTGAGAAAATGTTGTAAAACCAAGCAAAAAAAACACGCGCCATCTCTATAAACACACCGTCCACGCACACGTGGAACATGCATTTCGCAACATATCATATTGGGAACAGAGGAAGCGAGTATGGCCACTATAAGATAAGAAAATGTTATTTGTCTCACAATGGAGAAATTCCCAATTTACAGCAGCAAAATTATGAAAGGGAGAAGTAGAAGAATGAAAAGTATATGAATTATAAAATACAAATATAAGCACATTAAAAATGGGTGACATTCAAAGTAAAAACTGAAGAGGAAAATGACCACCATCTGTGTGGAAATGAATGAAGCCTCCACAAAATTACACTACATAATTAGTGTCATACATAATTTATTTATTTTTTTTGCTTACCTCTGCACTGAGCCCAAACTAAGTCCCAATTGCACCTTTATGATGAAATTACGATAAATATAGCGCATAATTTAGTAAAAGCCGACCCTCCTTTACATATCGCACACACTGTGTTTGGAGTATAAAAATCCACCTTTTAAAACGTTAATCTTGATTTGACTTCTCTCAGTTGAGAAATACAAGCCGAAATTGTCATTGCTCTTCACTTTTTTGTTTTTCCAGGTCCCTCTGCGTTACCTCTTAGCTATGCTGTTTGTCAACTTCAAGCCATTGTGGGATACTGTCATTGAGCTACTTGGGTTAGTATCTAGTTTTTAAATGTAAAAGTAGGCGTCTGACGCTATCTATTTTAAAAAGAGTGAACACGCTGTCCACTATTTGTGCAAAATCAACATTGAGTCTCTGTTTTGTGCAGGAGCCACGCCAAGGGGATGGACAACAAAGACTTCTGGGTGGTGTATCATGAACATCTCGAGATGGTGGCAGTATTAGCTGGTAGGTTTCGCAACTCTGGCGGTGTACTTTAAGCTCCTGTCACCAGGTGTTGTTCACATCTCCTCCTCCTCCTTATTGTAGAAGAACAACTTCAGGAGGGTGGTGATGACAGCGATGATGAAATAGAAGACACGGAGGTCCAGGCTGGGCCGGGTTGCGACGTCATCGAAAGTGGCGACTTGGGGGTGCTGTTTCTCCAGCAGCTCAGGTCGAGCTCAGACCCCAACGAGAGGACGGACTTCTCCAACTTCCGCGGCCTGATGTGGCGCGCCATGGCCCAGTTTCCAGACAGGGTGGAGCCCCGTAGCCGGGAGCTAAGCCCCCTGCTGCTGAGGTTCATCAGGTGAGTGTTCAGTAGACCCAACCCTTTGATTCAACCCGATCACAAATATCCTCACTTTCTGACTTATCTGAAACAGGAACGAGTTTTACCCAGCTGACATGCTGGTGGCACCGACTCAGGACCTGAGGAAAAAGAACGACACTGCGCTCGAGGCGTCCACGATGACTGAGGAGGAGGGGGAGGAGCAGGAGGAATCAGAAGAGGAGGAGAGGGACAAACGGCAGACGAAAGCGCCACCACGGCGAGCGGCTTCAAAGTAATGATGCACTTTGAACAGATGCTCGTGTGAATTCAGAGCGACACATTTGAACGATCCTGAAAATGCAGAAATTACAACAGCTTTCAATATTTAAACCACATTTTATTTTGAAAATGCTGTATTATTTTTTAAAATTATTTTAGAATCAAAAAACATTAAATTATATTCAATTGATGCATTTAATTTAATATTTCAAACGTATCTTTAAAGAGATTTCTAGCTAAATAATGAATGATAAATGTGAAGCTGAAAGTTAGCATTCCTGTTATTAATTTTTAATACACAAAGTACTGTTGTATTGTCTTTTTAATGTAATAACTGCTTTTATTATTATGAATTTTCAGTATTCTCTTGTCTTCAGTTATTGTTGTTGTCTTATGAGAAATACACGCTTAAAACATTTCTATTTGATCAATGAGAGTGGAAAAATACAGTGGCTATCTTGCAAGTAGTTGACCTGCAAGCTCATGCTGAAGACAGTCGAATGAGAAAAGGCGGAATCAATTTGACTTTTTATCATTTGGTTGCCTTTAAGTGACACCAGAAAAAGTTCTCCAGAAAAATCGTTTTATAAAATCAAATATTTGGAGAACAATGACTTTGGTGATGAGTATAGTCTCGCAGTTTGGTTAGCAAGTCAGCATTTAGCCTGTTGAAAAGAAATACTACAAACAAGCGTATGAGGTGAGGTTTGAAGTTTTATTTCAATCATTTTGTCACCAAAACTGGCACAGGATGGTTTCTATGATGACCATTTCTTGAAATAATTGAACATTTATCAAACTGTGACTATGCTAATGCCTAATTGATATTTTGGTTTGGTTAGCTAGCAAGCATGTAGCGTTTAGCCTGCTAACAAAATGATGACAACTGAATGTTATTTTTGTTTAGTTTTTTTGGGTGGGGTGAATTCTCCGTTCATAAATCTAAAAAGAAAGATGGTGTTGAATATTATATATTGTTCTCTAAAATGTTGTATTATATTTATATAATTTGTGACATTTTTTTCCCCCCTCCAGACAGCTAATCGCCCACCTGAATGTTTTTGCCAAATTCACCAACCCTCGCTCCCTTTACATGGAGGGCAGCCTGAGAGAGCTCTACAACCAAGTAATCCTAAAAATTGCTTAACTGTTTTTGTTTGTTTACACAAAGTACTGTTGTATTGTCTTTTTAATGTAATAACTGCTTTTATTATTATGAATTTTCAGTATTCTCTTGTCTTCAGTTATTGTTGTTGTCTTATGAGAAATACACGCTTAAAACATTTCTATTTGATCAATGAGAGTGGAAAAATACAGTGGCTATCTTGCAAGTAGTTGACCTGCAAGCTCATGCTGAAGACAGTCGAATGAGAAAAGGCGGAATCAATTTGACTTTTTATCATTTGGTTGCCTTTAAGTGACACCAGAAAAAGTTCTCCAGAAAAATCGTTTTATAAAATCAAATATTTGGAGAACAATGACTTTGGTGATGAGTATAGTCTCGCAGTTTGGTTAGCAAGTCAGCATTTAGCCTGTTGAAAAGAAATACTACAAACAAGCGTATGAGGTGAGGTTTGAAGTTTTATTTCAATCATTTTGTCACCAAAACTGGCACAGGATGGTTTCTATGATGACCATTTCTTGAAATAATTGAACATTTATCAAACTGTGACTATGCTAATGCCTAATTGATATTTTGGTTTGGTTAGCTAGCAAGCATGTAGCGTTTAGCCTGCTAACAAAATGATGACAACTGAATGTTATTTTTGTTTAGTTTTTTTGGGTGGGGTGAATTCTCCGTTCATAAATCTAAAAAGAAAGATGGTGTTGAATATTATATATTGTTCTCTAAAATGTTGTATTATATTTATATAATTTGTGACATTTTTTCCCCCCTCCAGACAGCTAATCGCCCACCTGAATGTTTTTGCCAAATTCACCAACCCTCGCTCCCTTTACATGGAGGGCAGCCTGAGAGAGCTCTACAACCAAGTAATCCTAAAAATTGCTTAACTGTTTTTGTTTGTTTTTTTATAACTACTAATGTCCTCCTGTGTTTGTCTTCTCAGCTTCTCTGCCACCAGGACCAGCAAATCCAGCGAGTGGCCCTCCAGTGTATTCTTACGTACAAAGACCCCTACGCAGTCCCGTACAAGTAAGCAGCGTTCATGGTGGACACACAGAGCGTCCCTCTTCAAGCTTGTTTTTCTTTCAATGGAGCCCCTTGTGGCTGTCTTGTATTGGACTGTTGAGATATAGCCGCTGCTCGCGAAAATGTGTATTCTGTAAGCTATATCATTCATTCGCCTAAATGAAGTGTTTGTGTTTATTTTTTCACCTTTAGTAAATGTTACGTATTGTTTCAGGGAGAATCTGGAGAAGCTGTTAGATGACAAGCATTTTAAAGAAGAAATCGTCCATTTTAACATCTCAGAGGAGACGGGAGTTGTGGATGCTTCACACAGAGCTGGCCTCATTCCATTACTCATGAGGTATCTTTTTTTTTTTGAAAAAAATTATGTTATAGTTCTGTTTTGTGCCGCACTGTCATTTCAGTAGCTCACGTTTCTGTCTGTGGGTTTTTGTGTTGTTTTTGTCGCACAGGATCCTGTTCGGCCGTCTGCGCAGTAAAGGCAGCAGCCGCTTCCAGAGCAAGGCCAGCGCCTCTACGCGTTCCTCCATCATCCTGCGTTTTCTGGCTGGATGTCAGGAGGTGGAGCTGGGCATGTTCGTTGATCTCCTGCTGGAGCCCGTCTCCCATCACAGCGATGGTGACCAAGCTTGACATTTCAGAAACGGTCTTCATCCGGCCATGAAGGCCAAATTTCAGTTCAAAACGGTCCCCCCAAAAAATGGTTACCTCACTCAGATTGAATTAATCTGTATTAAAGAAATTCACGAAGCGGGGGGTGCCATTTACCTTAACCATTTTAGGATTTTTTTTTAACACTATTAATGTTGTTAATTGGGGGAAAGTAAAATTATTTGTGGTCCACTTTTGATTGTTAGCATTCACTCTGTTTGAAAAAAAATGATGCCAAAAAACTTCTCATGTTACATAACCTTAAAAACAAACTTGGTCCTTTTGTCTCTTCAGGTTCCTGTCGGGACGCTGTACAGAGAGCGGTGGCCGGGACGGATATTGGCGCCGTGCTGCCGCTGGGTCGCCAGCACAGCCTCTTGAACATCATCAACGTGGTCATCCAGAAGCTGGGCCACCTCATCGAAGTCTACCTGCCCAAAGTGCTGCAGATTCTTCTGTGCGTCACCGCCTCTGTGTCGGCCATGCTGGAGATCAGGGAACAGGTAGGCCATCCATCGCCTTGATTGAAAATTAGATGTTAGTCTCTTTTATCGTTGCTTTTTATTTTTTGGGTGGTTATTGGTACTTCACGTCATCCTCAGCAGGACTGTACTGTATCTCCATTTTTCATCCGTAGCTGCGGCCAGGTTGCATCAATCCTCTGAAGAACCTTAGGCGTCTCGGCATCCTGAGAATCCAGGACTTTTTCGAGAACTTTGACAGCTTCAGCTTCAGCGCCGATCAGCTGGATGGCGTCTTCATGGCTGTTGTGTGGC